GTCTTGGCTCAAAACCACCACTTTGTCCCTAAGCATTGAAAAAGCTTTCTCAGAATCTCTACAACTGTTAGGGCTAAACTGGGCTAACTGCACATGGTAATTCTGAGAAAGTAGGGCTTATTTGCATGGCAGTTGAATGGGAGAAATAAAATAAAGTTGGTCAAAGTTTACAGGTGGGTGGCACGTTGTCTGTAAACTAAAATGTCAAAGTTAGCGGTGGAGCTGGGTTGCATGATTTTGAAAATAATCTTGACTCACATGATTTTCAATGAAGTCAAAACTACTGGGGTACCAGTACATTTTCTTTCACATATGACATATTTAGAATTGAATGTTTCACGCTATGGCATTAAACATATACATTTAATTGTAGGTGTTTTTATAAAAAAATGCTAAGTGCAAGCAGTGTGGCTTCTCCACAGACCTAACTTGTAACTTGACTTTGTGGCTTCTTATGCTTGTGTTCATGGAGATAGAAAAATGTAATGCCATACTGTGAAACATTCCCGACAATGCAATATCTGCGTGTTGCTATATCCCACATCGAAAAAGTGATTCTGAGTAGTTCTAGGACTGCATGTACGCCTTTAAACGCTTAGTCAATTAATCGGTCAATGGAGTCTTATTCAACCAAAATTAGTCGGCTAATTATTTTATTTCGATTTTAAGGATATTAATATGGGGCAACATCAGAGGAGAGGTTAATGAGTGTGTATTTTTTGGTATTTATATGGTAAAAGACAGATTACACTCACAAAATGATTCACAAAATGAATCTGTCTTTTTTAAATCCATCATTTCCTAGTACTTCTGCATAAATAGTTGTTTTGCGTGCAGTCTTAAGAGTACAGTTGAGGTCAGATGCACACAGGTACTTAATAATCCTCCATTTCAGTCAACTAATCGATAAGGAGGATACATCTTAAGTCGACTAAGAATTTCTTACATTGACTGCAGCCCTACTTAGTTCACGCCTTTGATTTCTGCACAGTAACACCTCCATCTGGTCCTGTGTCTCCATGCCCCTGCCACGTCCACTGGCTTGCACGCTTACAACACAAGGCCTGGCTGAAATCAGAGGCAGATGTGCATGGTTCATTCAACACTAAATGCCTATCTCTCAACAGGAAGAACAATTTAGCATCGTAGAGACAATGCAGCATGATGAGCAGCAGATGGCGGTTCCCTTCAAATCGATTGCATTCTGATCATGAAAGCTGTGAGTCAGACATTATCAACAACAACAAGAGAGCTGTGAAAAATGGCCACTCAAATGGACAACCAGTGAAATGCTTTTTAGATCCATGCCAAGATGACTACTGCACCTGCTGTGCCCATGGCCGAGCAGCTTAACTTGCTCTAAGCTTCTGTTGTGGAGGAGTGACCTTACTTGGCAGAGGAATCTAAGTCCAGTTGTATGAATCATAGTAGTGGGATAGATAATGTTTCTTTGAGATCTGATGTTGTAATCGTCTGAAGTGTTGGAACAGTAAAAAAGGAGTAGAAATGATTAACGAGCCAATACAAGGGGTTAAGTGGAGTTCAAAACCAAAACTTTTATAATACGGGCACTATCACACTAAGTATAGCGTCTGAAAACTTTAGTAATAGTAGTCTTATTTAAAAATCACTCATGCAAATTCCTGGATGAAGGTCTGCCACCTGCTTGTCTCCATGGAGATGTCTGTACAGCATAATAATAGTCAACTTCATGGAGACAAGCACTATAACTGTGACCATGATACTGGTCAGATCTGTGGAGAGGCAACCCTGTATGTCTTTCAATGTATTTTTGAGCAATACAATGGCCTGAAATTGAATTAACTAAATATACACTTTAGTGCCATACTGTGGAACATTCCAGGTAAAGGTTATACAGACAAGAAGGATCTTCCACCAAAAATGTTGCATAGTTCAGCTTTAACTTAACCTAACCCCTTTCCAGTGTTAAATACAGTAAATATAGTCGAACCTTCTACAATAATAAATCATTATCGTTCTAGCTTTACCACTGGAAAACATACCCACTGTCTTGGTGAAGATCTAATCACAAAAACATATTATTGTCAAATATTTGTCCGTGATTGTCTACTGTGTGCTCAGAAACAATGTGAGCTGTATTAAAAAGTCTGCTTTCCATTGTGTCTGTGGCCTGCGCTGCAGATGTGTTTGTTTTTCTGCCCTGGCCTTGTGAAAGATCAGTTAGCATCCATGGTTAGAACAGAATAACATTCAACAAATGCATTGAGGGATACATTATTAAACCAATAAATATGATCATTATTCTGCAATGAAAATAAACAGAAAACTTTATAACTTCAGGAAATATACAAAAAAGTCAGCAGGTGAATTGCTGCGCCAGATACACAATATAAAAACAGGACCACCAAGGTAAATATCCTAAAAATAATCAAATGTGCCTCCATATTTCTGGCAAGGTATGTATGGTAACTTTGAAAGGCCCTGTAATTGAGTTGTCAAAAGGAGGGACCAACTTGGGAAGCCTGAGGTTTTGCCTTGGTAATCTATCAGTCTACATATTGCCCCCTTAGAGCAGAGTGCGAGGCAAATTAAGTTAATTTATTATTTTTGGCTTGGTAGCGTATGCCACTTTTCACACTCTTCTGGCAAAAAGTAGCAGTTGTTAGCTTTGGGGAATTAGCAAAGGAGAGTTGGGAGTCAAGCCGTGGTGATCATGTTCGGGTTTTTGCAGAGGAATGCTGTCAAGCCCCCCTTTCCCCTGTATTTGAACCCATACCTGCTGAGGTCTGACCACTACTGTACACATGCGGTAATGCAAACCCCGAGAGGCCCTCTTCCGCTAGTCGAATAGAGGCCACCGAGCCCCATAAACTTTGGGCAAATCAAATCTAGTCGCCTTCTCACTGACTGCACACGTGGAAACTCCGAAAACGTACCAAAAAATCTGCAAAGGTCACCACGGACAACCGACTTCACAAGAACCTCAATATTTGTGTTGAACCTACTTCCAGAGTAATACTACCCTCATTACAACACCACAACCATTTCCCAACACATTATTGCAATGTTATTTCACAAGTATAGAATAAGCAAGTGGGGAACTTGATAGCGGCTTAAAATTACACGGTGATCGGTGTATAGTTGTCACGCATAGTCAGTTTCAGATTTCATAACTTTGTAAAAACAGGATGCAGTGTGCCATGCTGGAATAAGCTGGCAATGATAGCAGAGAAAGCAAACTGAAATAGATGTGGTCTGCGACGTAAAGCTGAGGTCCGACATTTCTCTGTGGTTTGTGTGTGGCGCCAAATGGCACTAACATAGTAGCTGAGTATCCCTTCTGTGATGCCCCTTTTTGTTCTAAGAGCACCACAATTTTCTGAGTGAAAAAAGTGCCAACATGGAATGGAAAGAAGTTCCAAGAATCCACAAAGTATTCAGTGAACTTTACAAGAAATGGTTGTTCTATTGTAATGTCTCTTAAATGCTAGCTAGGTGGTTGAGAGTTCAGCACTGTTACCTCAAAACAAGAAGGCCCTGTGCGTTTCAGTGCAGAGTTTGCATGTTCTCTCAGTGTGAATGGGTTTTCTTCAGGTGCTCTGATTTCCCCCATTTACCCCAAAACATGCACAATGGACTAATCTTCCATCTAGGTAATCCTGACCAAGATCCTGGCTGTAGATTCTAGAGAGGGGTCCCCTCTACTCCTGATGAGTTGCCCAGAGGCTGTAGTTGATGGATAGGTCAAAAAATGCAAAGGTGTAAATGTAAAAACATCCCTACTTGAACAGTATAGTCTACTAATAGTCATTCTGTGGCTCAGTTGGTAGAGCTGCGGTGCATATGCAGATTATCTTTGCATGGTGAGTTGCAGCCCAGTGTAACAGTTCCTCAAACATCCAACAAGCCTACACACTGTGCCCTCCATTTCCTCTGTATATCTAACTGTCCTTTCAAATAAAATCCAATATCTTCAAAGACTTCTCTGGCTTTTATTGACAGTAATTGCTATCTGCTCATGTGACATCTCAACAAAAAACACACCACATCTCAAACTCACTTGCATGTTAGTTATATATTGGACTACCAGGAGGAAACTTTTGAATTATGGTGCGTAAATTACCATAATGCACGTAAAAACAGTATATGGCATGTGAGGTCAGTAATAAGCTACAACAAATGTTATAAACAGACTAAAGCGCATTGTAATAAATAGATAGACTAGGCCTAACTCATGCATGAAATCTGGCCACTACAGTCACACACCACAAACCTCAAATATTAAGTGGTTGAGTAGCCATGTGCAATACTACTTTATAGTTGGATAAACACAAAGCAAAAGTCTCCCTGCATATAAAGAAAACGTGGATATCTGTTCTTTAAGCACACAGGTTGTCCAAGCACGCACACACGGGACCGTATAGCAGCACACGGGACAGCAGGCGGCGGGACCTGTGGTTAGTTCACACGCTGCTCCGTTCAATAAAAGCCAACATTTGCGCTTCTAATATCAAAAGGACTTGTGATAGGTCCAGGTCTCACTGGCACCAACAAACAACCTGTGAAATACTCCAGAGCGCACTGTATCACGTAGCATTACCGCCAGTGATATAACCCCAGCAACGCGCTACGTTAAAGTTTACAAACTTTTTGCATGGGAAGAGGTTGAGTTTTCCAAAGAATAGACAGATAAATGCATGCGCGTGTTACAAATAGGTGTTAAACTGTTGCAAAAGTTTGGTACATGCTTCAACTAAGCAACCTGCAGGACCATGTTTCTCCTGTGAATGAATTCCACAAGATAGGAGCCATCTTGTGACCGCATATGCTCGAACGGAGACCATCCTCATGCGTATACACCACCACGTAGGCTACACAACTCCTGTCAGCCCCCCAAACAGACAGGAGAAAAGTTTTACAAAGCTTAGCCAGGGTAATCTGTGGAAATGGAAAACGAAACGCCGCTTCCAACGAGCGCGTATTATTCCGCGGTGAGAAGAAAAGGTAGTTTCACGTACTTGAACGATCTCCCCCTCCGCGCTGATAGTGGCTCCGGCTCGGGAGAAGCGCCCTTGCAAGCCCGTCGTGTAGGTTGTATAGTCTCCATTGGGACTGGACTCGAACAGAACCACTTCCACAAAGGCGGTATCCTTGGAGAGAGCGCTACCGAGAGCGGAGGCGAGCACCAGGGACACCAGTAGCAGCGAGTCGGCTACACGATCCAAGCCTCTCCGCGGTAGAGTCATCATCTTGCCGGCTGGATCTGCGCCGAACGGGACATAATTTCACACGGATTAATGAAGCGGGTTGACGGTAATTGAATTCGCGTCTGTGAGTCCGAAGCGTAATATCTGTGCAGTAAGCGCACAGCCCGGTCTAAAGCGTGTTTATTTCACCACTGCGAGCCTTGTCAATTACTTTGCTCGCAAACGCTGCCTCTCTCGCTCGCTCTTCCTCCCTCCCTCGTTCCCTCGTTCTTTCTCACCCCCCTCCCCTGTCTCTACAAAGCGGATCTCCTTTGATCTGCAAACACGTGATTTTTTAAAGTTTTTTTTTCTCTCCCTCTCCCAAAAGGGTTCTATCCCCACCCACCAATCTTTCTGACCCTCTCCTTTGCACTCCCCTCTCTGAAGTACCAGCACTCAGTTAAGGAGGCACCGCGCACAACACCGCGCAGCCACGAATAGATTTATTGGTGGGAAAAACACAAAGACTGAAGTTTGTTCACATTTGTGAAGTTGATGATCAACCGCAGTAGTCACATGATACTTGAAAGGCGCTTCCCTCGCTTCTACCTGTATGTAGCTGCAATACCACCTTAAAACAAACACTACCCTCTTCAGGACACTCCACTGTTTAACCTAAAGCCCATAAGATGGGCATTTATGCACGTTAATTTAAGTATTCTTTCATTTGTTTTCAATCCACATTGCACCATAGGCTGTTGTTGGACATACTTGTAAAGTATCACGTTTATTTAATTTGGATTCCCTGAACAACTACTTTGAGAAATGAGCTAGACCATCTGTGATCATTATTTATTTCTTGATACCAAGAAGTCTATTACTGTATTATTACAGTTGTTTACAATGACTGCAAAACATGCTCAACAGGTGGTGAGGCACATTCCCATATGGCCTAATAATTTTTAGGTTTCTGTAAATATTCTCACTCATCAACAGCTAATTTTGCAGGAACAAAGTGGTAATAACAGTTGTACATAATGGAGAATTACTGAATTCTATCCAGCTGAAAACTGTGAGTGATAATTTTTTTTTTTCCATTTCGGCAGGACAGATCCTCTGTAAATGTGTTAAACCCAACCATCTGAAATATGTGACATGTCAGTTGGGTGATTTTAATGGCCTACATTTGAGTGAAGCATCTCAATTCTTCTAGTCTTTGATCTTTATGACAGTGTTAAAGAAAACAGGCCTAACAAGCTAAGCATAGCTCTTTCATGGTACTTATCAAAAATTAAAATCACATTTTTTACATTTTTTAAATGCACCAAGTACCAAAACTGGCTACCAAACCTACAAAAGACTTAATAATAATGCAGACTGGCACGGCCACTCTGCCTTACTACTTTGTTATTTATTCTGTACACAACGTTTTTCAGAGAAATAATCTGATTTGTTTTGTCAAAGAAAACCTTTGAGCTGTTTAATTTTCAATTCATGGTTTTCATCTTCCAGTTATATTCAACATTTTGTGGACTTTTCCCATTCAAATTATATCATATTTGTTTTAAATTGTTAATCGCCATGGTAATTTTCCTTAATGTCCAAAAGCCCACAGAACAGAGCATCTTGCTGTCAGCTGTGTGGCCATGCGTTTGTGAAGGTCAAGAATGCAGCGGCTCATATAAAGTGTGCCACATGTGTCAGACTCACAGAGAAGTCTTCAGAGATCCTCAGCACCTCCACACGGACTCGCACTGATCACTCTGTGTGTCACTCCACTCTATGAAGCCTTATTCACTCCACATGTTCTGCATCTGTATTCTGTGACAGTCCCTCTGGTTCAACAACACACCCTCTCTTTTTGACATTTCATTAAATGTTTGCAGACATAAACTGCAAACAGGTCTTATAGATGTTTAGCTGTGGTCTGTCTTGGAATTAAGATGGACACATTTAGAAATAGCTTTCTGTGAGTGCTGCTTATGATTATATTGGTGATATGTTCCAGAATCAGTATAGGTAACAGGGAAAATGATGCATATTTTATAAGAACAAATTATTTAATATCCTATATACACTGATTTTGTTTGTTATTATTTTTACATAAGTGAAAAAATTGTGAATTTTATTGTGACTTCACATAACTTTGTGGCACTTCAGTTCCACTATACTACCCCTATCAGTTATCGGCCATAGAAGCTAGACAAATATCAGATATAAATTGTCTCAAAGATCTTTTTTGGACCATCCCTACTCATCCTATAACAGCTTTTCTGTAGTGACTCCTAAAAATACTAATCTTAAATGACTCATATTCAAAATAACTTGCCACAGAGGAGTGTGGAGCAGAAAAGTTTGTGGCAACCACTGATTGCGACTATAAATTATTAATCCTCAAAAATAGGTCTTTAAACAGCTTTGTGATTAGAGTGCCCTCTACTGGAAGTCCCTGTTTCAACCACAGTTACACCTCAAATGGTTTTAAACGAAAGTAACTTTATACATTGTGTGTGCCTTTCTTCCTGACAGTTTCTTCATCTCTGGCCCTGAGCCTCATGTGGACAGCAGCTGTGGATCTTCTTGAAGCACTTTCCATGGCTGCATGTTCTGAAGTCTAAGCCGCTGTTGTATTGATGAGGTTCAGCTGCCACATGTGTGATACAGAAAAGAAAAAAAAGTGCTAGAGTCTGGACTACATTACAGTGGTGTGAAGTGGCAGGTCGAGTCAGACTTGAGACCTGATTTGATCAAATTAAGTCAGACTTGGGACTTGACATGGATTTAAATGCCAGTGACTTGGGTTAATCCCTGTGACTAATAGTTGGTTTCAGTGCTTAATTTTAAACAAGAAAACTGGAACTTCCCTCTCCTATATCCCCTGTCTACTTCCCTATTTGTTAACAGAACTTTTAAAAAGTAGGACAGTTTACAAAATTCACATAGATTGCAAAAATATGAGTTGTAGTCTCTAAATTGGTATAAAGACTTGAAAGCATAGAACTTGAGACTTGACTTGCTTGGATTTGAGGCCAAAGACTTGAGACTTTCCCCCTTTATATTATGGACATGAACTGATATTACAGAGCTAAACTTTTACATTAAGCTTCTCAGAGAATGCAACATTCAAAAGTACAAGTAAGTGTTTTTTCTCAGTCAACATACATAAACACCATGATATCATGAGCCAGGACAGACCCTCAGTAAAAGTGTTAAACCCAAATAATTAAAACCATGTGAAATGCCAGTTGGTCAGTTGCATCCTAGTTCTTCTTCTTTTTCTTCTTCTTTAGAATAGCTGTGTTAAAACACACATGACAAACTATAGCTCTTTTATAAGATAATATTTTATGAAAATTATTAAAAAACACTAAAAATAAGAATATTGTTTTTATAATACACAGGCGTAATATAGCCTGTCAAGCTAATGAATGTATCCTTGTTTATACATTTACAAAGGCTTTTCAGTAGTTTCAGTAAAGTTGTTTTTTATACTTCTCACAACCCTAACCCACAACCCACTACTGCATCTTCAGTCAACATATTGTCCTTAACTGACTCAAAATCTATAATTTACAAATGTGGATAGCTATAGGTTTCTAATAATACCCAAACTGAACATGGTATTTGGTTGTGTTTGTTGAGAGTGGCACTATGTGTACCCAGTGGGCTGAAGTGTTCCTTTGTTGGCACTGTGCTGACGTTATGTTTTAATGAAGAAAGAGATGATGAGGAGGGGAGGGGTCGGGCCCGTTTACATTCAGAGCTGAGCGTTACTGTGGCATATGATTACATAAAGCAATTAGGGGCCTCTCAGTACCCGGGATTGTTGGAGATGCTTTCCCCATGATGACACACTATGGTGCTACCCTGACTCCCAAGCTCCCAGCAGTAGCTATGTTGCATGTTTGGGATGATGTCATGGCCCAGCCTCCAGTCGGAAACTCTCATGAAACGTGGGGCAGTAAAAAGCAAAGGGGAAATGCCAGGGAGGGATAAGGGACAGGCCTTTAATAACAAAACATCAAAACCCCACCGCAGATATTAACAAGAGATAAGCACTGCTGCTTTACACAATCACAACCATAAAAAAAATGCCTTCTTTCTATCTAAGATAAAGTTATGTTTTATTTGTTATAGTATATCTAAATATATAGCAGAAAATAAATTATTAGTTGCCAGTGACTGAGTTGTGGTTGCTCCTAACAGTGGTGCAGCCTGATGGAGAAACTAGTAAAGTCCCACCATTCAAAGCCCTACTGTGGAAAATTCCCTCTTATGTGCCCCTGCTTTACAAGAGCAACTAAACTATTGCAAAATACATAAACAAACATTGTATTATTTGTAGTCGTTTCCAAATTTAGATAAATGCTTATGTTTAAGTTACTAGTCAACATTTCCATGGAGACAAGCAAGTGCAAACCTCCAAATTAGGAATTAGGTTTGTGGAGAGAAGAACTTGTTTAAGGATGCATATTTTTTAAAGTATTAATTAGCAATCAGAGTTAAGAATTGTCAGAGGGTCTATATTAAACCATTTTCTGATTTATGTTATAATGTTTTTCATAATCAAAAACATACCTGGAGTGTTTTATTACAATCACGTAACTTTAACACACAACCCTGCATATTTAGGCGGAGTTTTTCTCTCAAACAGAAAGCACCGTGTTCCACCTTGTGATGTCATGTGTTAATAGTGATCCACTGTGTTTTTAAAATATATACACCTTCACGAGAATCATTTAGATCATTTTAGCCCTGGAATCTCTATTGAGCTACTGCTTCATGACATTACAAGGTGGAACAGAGCATTTTAAGGTTTGGAGAGGTAGACCCAAACACTCAAACATGTGTGAATGAAACATAACACAGTTCAATATTTAACCGTGAGTCAGTTTTGCTTTAAGAATTAATGCTTGTATTTTAGTAGTTTTATTGGCAAAAATCTTACTCATCAGGGAACACAATTATAGGCCTATACCAGTGACTATTTATTTATTCATTCATGCATTAATACTCAGTAAAAGAAAAAAAACAACAACTCCATCCCGTACTTCATGCATTTGGCAACAGATGTCGAGAGAACTTTTCCGGCTCTGAAGTTAGGGGCTGGTGGTTTTGGGACAGCCCCCTCAGATGTGGCTGGAGGAGTGAGAGTGGACTTTGAAGTGCCCCCAGACCAGAGGGAGGTATTCAGTTCAGTGCAGGTCTAGAGTTGCGGCCGCGAGGAACAGAGGGATAGAGGAGGAGGGGCACAAGAAAAAGGGGAGTGAGAAGAGCAGACAGCAGCCTTTTGAAAGCAGGCACCTGTACGTCTGAGGCTTGAACAGGTAGAGTCCCAGGGGAGCAAGCTGAGAATGGAGCGGCTCAAGGGACGTAAGCCCAAAAAGGGGTACTTTCTGTTTCACATAATAATCTGTTAACTGGAAATAGCCAATGATCTCAAAGTTAGAACAATCCAAGTTAAATTCATATAACTACTCCCTTTGTGCTGGTGATTGTTTCTCGCTATTGAAGGCCTATATTATAATGTTGTTTCCCCATCACAAACATAGCAGTTGTGTTTTGTTTCATTCACACACATTTAAAACAAAAAGCTTGTGATGTCATGTAAAAATACAGAACTTGCTCCACTGTGTTTTTAAACTCCATACACCCTCACTAGAATCATTTGCATAATTTCATACATGGAATTGCCAATCCCTACTGATAAAGAATTACTCAAACTTCTGCAAATGAAACTAAACACAACTTAATGTATGAGGTATTCTGGAGGTATTTTAACATTGGTTGAAACTCTCAAGAGAGTAATATAAGACCTTTAAAATTATATTGTATAAAGTATAATATAATTGGCAATATTAGAATTCAGTGCAATGCAATATATTCTAGTATGACATAAGATAATAATAAGCTTGGCAACTGGGTCAAGTTGAGATCGAATAAATGGTAAGCAGTCTCAAAAAACGATACATAAAAATTATACTAAAACTAAAACTAGGTATGTTCACAGAAATCTTCCAGTCTTAAGGAGGCTATATGTTCACATTTTCAGTTTCATATTCACTGGTTTGTTGGTTTTATGACATTAAAAGGAGAGGTGACAATCACCATCCATTTAATGAGGCAACAAGAGAAAAAGTGGACAACTTACTCCCTCTACTGACCAGGTTTTGTCATGACGCCTTTATCCACAGACAGCTATCTGTGACAAAGTTGGTGATTTTTAAAAACATAAAATAAAAGAAGATTAGTGAACAACAGTCTTGATAAATGGATTCAAATAAATTGTAAATTATATTTGCATTATATTGTGGAACAGCTATCCACATTTGTGCAGAGTAAAAAAATGCAATGCCCTTGTTTTTAAGATTACATTGCAAGTTTCTGTTCCTTTTTATTTCCAGCTCTTGTTGCAACATTATTCTTCCTTACTCTACTCTTATTTCTCTTACTTACTCTTATTATGGGCAATTATACTTTTGCATATCTCCAACAACTGTAATATTTCAGCTTTGTAAAAATATATCTTTCACTGCTAATAAAGGTTTATCTAAAAGTTACATTTTTCATAAATCAGTTGGTGCGTCTTTGTTATCCTTCCATTAGGTCATGATTATAACAGCAGAACAAAATAAGACAGCATTAGAATTCCTCCAGCACTTTATTCAACACTTCTTTTTCAATTTTAACTTTCACACAAAACACTTTTCTGCACAGACATCAGATTTACAGGTTGACTTTTTTGGTCTTTCCCCACAAATCATCATAAAGTACAGAAAGTATTCCAACTGTATATGTCTCCACACTTTTCCTTCAACTTTTCCACACACTGGAGTCTTCACGTATTTTAATCTCGTAAAGGAACTTACTGAGTGCAAACTGCTATAAAAACCTAAAACATACTCAAGATAAAAGGAATGTAGGTGACAAATGCAAGATGTAACATAACATAGGAGTGATGTGACTTCAAAACACCATTCATTCCACATTTTGGTTTATAATGTGTATATAGTTTGATGTAGTTCTTTAGATTCACACATTTTTCTTTTAAAAATCCATTCATATTGATATATTTCTTTTATTGACCATGTTCATGTTTAAGAATCTCCGCTTTTTCCTTCCAAATTTCAGACAGACGCCACTAGAGCGTAGTTTCTGCATCTGCCTTCATAGACGAAGGAGAGAGCAATATGGAAAAACCTAACCTCTGAACATAACAATAATAAGTTACACTGCTGAGAAAGGATTGGAGGAACCCAGGATAGTAATTAGTTTGTGAAAAATATTTCAATTTACAGTAAGTCTCCTATAATATAACGGAGAACTATATACTGCTATGGAAACTGACATTACATTTAAGACAATGTCATTTCAATGTTGATTTATTTTTGAACAGTAATTTTTGACAAACCAATTAGGCTATAACATTCTCCTTTATTTGTACATTGCGTTGTTTTGTATAAATTGATAATTGACCATAACTAAATTGTGTATTTGAAGTTCCTCAGTAATTAGTAATAGTTGGGTTATTGTAAAGTCATACCTCTTTTGAAGATGATTGTGAGTCCCTCCATCCTCTCTCAGAGTAATACTAGTTGGTAAAATGAGCCAAGATGACTCACAATGTTCAGAGCTGGTGTTAAAAATTAGCAAGACTTTGAAGTAGCTAATTTACATGTGCTGTCATTCTCAGCTCTGCACATGTGCGGGTCAGGCTCAGGGGGCTGCTGGCTGTGGCGATGGTCAGTCAGCAGGGGGTGCTCGTCACTGTCAGTTCTCAGTGACAGTGTTGAACTCACCACTCGCCGTTAGCCCGTGTCACCGTCAGGAGGCCGGCAGGGCGTCCTGACAGTGTCACAAGCCCACGGGCTGCTGCTGCTCGACCCCGGTCCCACCGTCGCCAAACAGCCTTCGTCAGTGTCAGCATCAGCTGGCTTTGGGAGCAGCCTCATTGTCAGAATTGGCTGTCCACTGTCAGCTGTGCTTTGACTTTCATTTGGCTTTCTCTGTAGCTCAGGGTCTGTGCATGACCTGAGGCTCCAGCTCTACCTGTACCACCTGCTGCAACTGGCTAAGGTCGAAATCACTCTGACCCTGCTGGCTAACTTGCTGCTGGTTACCATGGTGCTGCTCCTGGCCATCATGGCGATCCAATGGAGGAGGGCCGTGGTGATGGTGGCCGTGGTGGTGACCGTGGTGATGGCCATGGTGATGGCCGTGGTGATGCCCATGGTGATGCCCATGGTGTCGTGTGTCTTGGTCAACAGCTGGGGCAGCGTCGGTCTCTGGTTGAGCCTCAGTTGGACTCTCTCTGCACTCCGCTGGGATGTCTGAACTCTGAGTTTGAAAAATAATTAGTAGAATATTTAAAGTGCATAGTTACTGTATATATTTGCTTCATTTTTCTTTCAGCTTTTTCTTTCTTTATGATTCTTTGCTAACCTGCTTAGTTTGCTTTAAATATTTCCTCTTTAAATAATTTGTTATGAAAACATTACATGTATGAAGCAGTTATTACTTAGTACTTATGTTACCTCATTAGTGCAGTCTCCACAGACACGTGTGCAGTAGGTGTCTCGAATAGCTTTCTCAACATGACCTTGTCCAATGATGGAATATGGAAGGGAAATGTGCTGAGTCAAGCGTCCACATCTAAGAGGAAGACATTTTATTATAAAGTATTACAAACAAAATGAATTGTCCTTATCATTTCTTTGCTTCGGACATCTAACCTGTCATAAATGAAGAAGTCGTCCTTCTCTCCTTTCAGTGTCTGCCACACATCAGGCTGGTCCTCTGCCTGTTTGTACAGTGCGATGTTCGCTGTCAGTTTCTCTGCCAGAAGTGGATGAAGGCGCTGTGCTTGCGCCCCCTGGTGGTTGATGACCATGTACACTATATTGGTTAGTCCCTGATTCTCCAGCTTCTGGCGCAGGCCGTCCATTCTAAGGAGAGGAGAATGAAAAATAAGACTTTTATGTCTGTTATTGACTTTGCAATATCAAATGGAAAGAATGTTTACTTTATCCCAAATTATGTGACATAAGTATAATTATTAGGTCTACTCATAAATCTTGAAATCATGAGTCTTGAACTTTAAAACTAGTTTTAAAACTTATTCCTCTTTCTCTGTATATTCAGTGTAACACAATAAGTCTAATAGCTTGTACTTTGTGTCCCTTTTACTTGCATTAACATGCACTTGTAAATGTTCTTACATGCCCTTATCCACCAGTATTAAGATAACAAAGCATACAGTGTACCTGCCAGCCTGCACCAGACAGAAGAGTCAGCTGGCTTGGAATAGTGCCACCACAGTCACCTTGCCCATAGCCTCCTTCATGGGCTCCACCTCTCCGATCTTCCAAGAGGGGGGCGTCTGGCAGCGCGGCCCCCCTCCCTCACTCTCAGCCCCGCCCCCATGGAGCAGGCCGAGAGCGAGGAGCAGGCTTAGCCACGCCCACATCCCCCGCTCTGCCTCTTCTCACCCAATCTGCTGACCACAAAGAAAGGGCAGGAGCATTTAGAGAGTGAAAGAGGAGAAGGTGGGAGGAGAGAAAAACAGGGATTGGTCGCATGATGGTACAAAAGGTCAACAAAAGGTTTTGCATAGTTTTTACGATTGCATCTTTTGCTCAGCTTTAAAGTGTCACAAAGTTGCAAAAGTCAGTGACAACATGTATTATGTCAAGTGAATACAAGTAAAAAAAAAAAAAAAAAAAAATATATATATATATATATATATATATATATATATATATATATATATATATATATATATATATATATATATATATATATTAAAAATGTGTGTATAAGAAAAAAGTTGTATTATTGCATCTATTCTGTTGTTTAGTAGTCATTAAAAAACTTTGCAAACCTGGTAGAATGGCATATAGCTATAAAGACTTATTTTTATTTTTGCATATATTAAAACACACTTTCTAAGAAGCAGTTCCTCTCTATGCACATTTCAGTTTACTTTAGAAGTTAAAAAGATGAGGTTTTAGGAGTTATATAAGCACTCACCCCTGTAAAAGATGTCTTCTCCCTTGTATGCTGCTGCAACTGCTCGAACAAAAACAAGTCTCTTCCTCAAGTGCTGCCCCTTTTATACCCTCCCCTGTTGTTGTGCTGTCAGGAAGGAGGACAAAGTTCACGCTGGGCTAACTGCTGATTCCAACAGTTTAAGACGTTACAAACATCAGAAAAAGGAACAGAGTTAGAATTGTGTAATAAATAAGCAGCATTTAAATCCAAGAGTGTCAAACATGTTCAGTTATTTAAAATTGTTTATTGTATTGATGAAATAGAAAAGAATAGAAAAAAATATGCATGAAAAGGACAGGTAACAGCTCAGATCTGTGGAGACAACTCTAGTGACAATAACAATGCATATATTTCAAGGTATTTTTTAACAGTTAAAAGGCATATCATTGGATTAATCCAATAAACATTCAGTGCAATACAATGGAACTTTCTAGTGAAAGGAAACAGGCTCCACCAGAAAAGTTATATATTGCACTGCTGAGTCTGCCATTAACAAGTGACCCACTTTATCAGTGTGACCATGCTACAGCTGGACGCATAATTGACCTGATATAATCAAAGGGTTATTTTAGTTTATGCACGTACTTTGTGGTGCCTGCAATATATCTAAGCTAATGCCACAAAAAAAGTTACTTATTTACAATATTTATAACGATAAGATCACAATGACATAACCAACGCCTCATTAAGTGTATGAGGTAAGGTTCAAAAGGCAATGAAAAAAATGGATTTGGTTAAGGGTTTCGTGTGGCTATGCAAGTTTTCTAGCCAACTTTGTGGTTGCACAATGCATGCTATGCAGGATGTGGAGCGAGACTTCAGAATATTAGGAAATAAGATTCATGTCTATTGCATTGTATTGTATGTATTGTGCTAATTTTCAACAAACAGAACAGAGTCAATCAATCAGTATAATTGTATTTGTTTGTCTTTGAGCAGTAGAATACTATAATAATAGAAAAGTGTTTCCCTGCCGTATTTAATGCTGAAAGCCTGTTGCATTGTTGGAAAAAGTCTGTGTTAACCAGCCACAAGAGCAGTCAACCCTGAACATGGCAACTACATATTGAAAAATTAAATAGCCCATTGATAGGCGACTTTGCAGCTGATGTCATCAACATGACCTTGGCATGTGAAGCTAACTGAAAGCACTACTCTGACAGAAGCTTTGTTACAAAAATTAGACTTAAACTGAGTTTTATTTTAACACAGTCTGACCAGGCAGCGCTGTCTTGATTGTAACTACAACAGGTAGTTGTAGTTACTAACTACTCAATCCTGGGCCCCCTGTTGTTCAATCTCTACATGCTGCCATTAGGCCAGTTAATAAGCAGCAATAACGTGTCGTACCACAATTATGCAGATGACACTCAGATCTACGTCTCTCTGGCAGCAGGAGACTATGGACCAGTGGAGTCACTTGGTCACTGCATCCAACAGATCAGTGTGTGGATGCAAAACAACTTTCTCCAGCTAAACTCTGACAAGACTGAAGTCATAGTGTTTGGTCCACAGAAACAAAGGGACAGTGTCAGCAGTCACCTCCTGTCTCTCGCTCTAAAACCTTCAAATCAGGCAAGAAATCTAGGGGTAATAATGGACTCAGACTTGAACTTTAACAGTCACATAAAATCAATAACATCTGCAGCCTTTTACCATCTAAAAAACATAGCAAAAATCAAAGGTTTACTGTCTAAATCAGACTTAGAGAAACTTATCCATGCATTTGTCTCCAGTAGGTTAGACTACTGTAATGGTCTGCTCACTGGTCTCTCCAAACGAGCTGTGAGACAACTGCAGAACATCCAGAACGCTGCAGCTCGGGTCCTTACTCGAACTAGGAAGTACGAGCACATAAGTCCTGTGCTCAGGTCTCTGCACTGGCTTCCTGTGCCTCAGAGAATAGACTTTAAAGCAGCTCTGCTTGTGTACAAGTCTCTCCATGGCCGAGCACCAAAGTACATCTGTGACATGTTAGTGTCATATGAACCATCTCGCACTCTGAGGACCTCAGGGACAGGCCTCCTGCTGGTGCCCAGAGTCAGGACTAAACAAGGGGAGTCAGCGTTTCAGGTTCATGCAGCTAAAACCTGGAACAGTCTTCCTGAACATGTGAGACAGGCCTCTTCTGTGACGCTGTTTAAATCCAGACTCAAAACATTTCTGTTTAACTGTGCATATAACTGAAAGGTTTTCATTCCGCACTCTTCTCTCTTTTTTAATTTTAATCTTCATGATTATTTATGTTTTGATTTGTTTTTATTGTGATTTTAATGTGTTTCTTGTTCTGTAAAGCACTTTGAATTACTTTGTGTACGAATTGTGCTATACAAATAAACTTGCCTTGGCGTTTTTCAGTTAGTCAGTCTCATCATTTTTACTGAAAATCAAACAGCTAGACCTGTATCGACCACAGTGTCCTGAAAATTAGTTGTTAGATCCATTTTGTATTTTTCTCTTGAGATTTCAGACTATTTGACAACTTGTGTTTCTGTTTACTAATGTGTGCAGTGTGTCACCATGGTAACTGCTGGATATTCCGCCAATAGAGATGCATATAAAACACCCTCAGCGAAATGTCACTTCAAAGTATCAATACATATAAAAGCAAACATATATCATAACCAATCTGAGTGCAGATACATGTAACACTGAGCTAGTTACCATTTGCCATGACCATTCGCACGGATTTGTCGCACATGTGTTTGGGACATGGGACGTAAACACCTGTCACCAGGCAACGCTGCGCGGCGTCCATGGGTTCGCAGAGGCTTCTGGGAAATTGAGGCCTAAAGTGGAACGACCGCCCTTTCTGGAGCTACTAGCAGAGAAGAGCGCTACGTGCATCGGTGGATTAATGTTCTCAAACTACTCTTCAGAAGTACAACAGTCTAACTTCAGGTATTTATATGTGTTGTGTCCAGTATTAACGACATCTCTGTGTGCTTATAATAAAGAAATACTCTTGGAAAATTAGTATTTTAATGCGCGGTTTGATGACGTAATGTTGATGGTCAAACACGAAATGGCGAGGATGCTAGGCCTGTTACCGAGAGCTCAGTGGGGTGATTATATGATTATTTTCCACGTTTTATATTTGAAAAACCTAATCATACCTCAATGGTATTCTGATAAGGCTAAAATAGATATACGACACCCCAATTTTGTGATCTTATACTGTAACATTTGCCAAAACCTGATTAGCGCTAATGCTACACTGAAGCTAGCTGTAACACATGTGTTATATAGGAAGGATCTCATTGCATAGCGTTAACATGTTTACTTACTGCGTGAGCATGATTTACTTAAACCACAAACACAACTTAATGCAGTTTCTTTATAAGTATTTGAAAGGCATGTTTGTTGAATAACGTGTACTGTATGTTGACTCAGCTGAGACAGGAGTAGCTGATGGTGTTGTTTCTGCTTAATATTTACAGATCAGAACTATGGCAGAGGTGGAGGTGGAAGTGGAATTGGATGACGGTACCCTGTATCCCGAACATTACAAAGTCATGATGGACAAACTGAATGAGCAGCGGCAGCTGGATCAGTTCACTGACATTACCTTGATTGTAGATGGTAATCAGCTTCAACACTCTCTTGACAGTGGCTTTTTTTTTTTTTTTTTTTTTTTCCCAAATCAGCAATTACTGGTTTTCAATTTTTATTTGTAGGGCACCAATTCAGAGCTCATAAAGCTGTGCTGGCTGCCTGCAGTCAGTTCTTTCATAACTTCTTCCAAGATTTTACTCAGGAGCCACTCGTTGAGATTGAAGGTATTCCATGCTCAAACTCAAAAATTACTTCTGCTATTTGATGAACTAATATGAAAGTGGAACTAACAAATGTTATGTTTACATTTACTTTAAATACCTAATTAATGCCAGGACCCTCCTAAAAAAAACATACCATTTTCTCATTGATTTACAGGAGTCAGTAATACAGCTTTTCGTCAGTTGATGGAGTTTACATATACTGCCACTTTGGCTATAACTGGTGAAGAGGAGGCAAATGATGTGTGGAAGGCAGCAGAGTATCTTCAGATGCAGGAAGCCATCAAAGCACTCGATGGCAGGTAATACTTCGAACTATGATGACATGTTTTTGTAGCACATGCTGAGCATACTGTATATGAAAAAAATAATCTAACTCTGTTCTGTTAACATTTAGGACACATGACAGTTCTGCTCTAACGAAGGGAAAGGTTAAAAAGCGAAAAATTGCAGAAACTTCAAATGTGATCACTGAAACTCTACCAACAGTAGAGGGAGAACAGGTCAGTTTCAAATTTTAAAATTTCATTTATTTTTAGTACCACTGAATATGTCTGTAATATGTGATTTTGACTAACCTATAGCTCAGTTTTAGAACTTTTTGTACTACGTATTTAATAGACCCAATTTCTTTGATATTATCAAGGTGAAAATTGAAGTACTTGGAGACGTTGCTATTGAAGAAGTGATTGAGGCAACAAAGCATTCTCAGGGTTCATCAGATGACTCTGCTTTGGCTCTTCTTGCCGACATCACCAGCAAGTACCAACAGGGGGAGCCAACGGTGCAGGTTGTCAAAAAAGGAGAACTAGAAGAGGTGTGTATACTTTTTGTACAATCCTAGGTTACAGATATTTGTTACTATGAGAAGATTTGACTTTTTGTGTTTTTTAAGGAAATTGCCTATCAGGAGGAAACTGTAACTGCCTCTAAATCATTGGAGGTAGACGTGGTAGAAGTCCAGATTTCTCAAGTGGACAACATATTTCGGTGCAGTAAATGTAATCGCAGCTTTAAGCTGTACTACCACCTGAAGCAGCACATGAAGGCACATGTGGGCTCCCTGGAGAAACCGCATGTGTGCGGTCACTGTGGGAAAGCTTACACCAGAGAGGGCGCTCTTAAGCAGCACGTCAGCACCTTTCATTATGATGCAGAAGATCTACCATTAAATCAAAAGCCACAGAAGAAGGTGCATGTTTGTGAATACTGCCAAAAAAACTTTGACCACTTTGGACACTTTAAGGAGCATCTAAGAAAACACACAGGTACATTTCTGTATTTAGATATTTTTACTTGTGGATGGCATGAAAATTCTCAATACAGTACTCCTCTTTCTTAGGTGAAAAACCTTATGAGTGTCCAGACTGTCATGAAAAATTTGCAAGGAACAGTACCCTCAAGTGTCATATGACTGCCTGTCAGAATGGAGTGGGAGCCAAGAAGGGACGCAAGAAAATCTATGAATGCCAGGTATATTCATCAGAAAATGCTATTTTCTAGCCTCCAAAACAGTGATTTTCAATCAGTCAACAACTTTATTAATCCCAAAAGGCAATTCAGTTTGCAGATCTCTTGCTCAAACCATAAATAAAATCATGTCATACAGCATACACATACATTCAAACCTCAGTGCATCAGGGGACATTTACTTTTCATTTAAAATGTATAAGGCAGAAGGAATAAAAGATGTAGCATAGCGGTCAATCTTTTCTTCTGGTGTGACATATTGCCTCCCAGTGGGCATTAGCCCAAACTGCGAGCATGACACATGGTGAGCTGTCACAGACCAACGAATAGATTTTTATAGATGGATATAGGTATAGATTTTGCTGTACATTGTGTAAATGCAGATTACTGTCAGATTATAATCTAATTTTGTATTGATGTTCGGAGTGTGACAAACCACTATTTCGTGTGGTAAACTCGTGGTAGATTATTGTGAGTTAGTTATTTGGGGAAAAAAATCATTATCAGAAGTGTTGTTAACTAATTAAAGTGTCATAGAATATTTGGTATTCATTGATGAAATCATCACATTTCCCTCATTTTCTCATAGGTTTGTGACAGCGTGTTCAATATCTGGGAGGAATTCAAGGACCATCTAGTGAGTCACACTGGAGACAAACCTAATCACTGTACTTTATGTGACATGTGGTTCACCCATCCCAAAGAACTGAAAGAACATTTAAAGGACATTCACTCCATTGAAGACAAGTCCAGTGACGAGCTGGTGGTCCCGGACGCTGCTGCCACTGCCGCATTGACAATAACTGCACAGAACCTAGAGGCAGGGGACAATGTACTGTTGGAGGATGGTATTCAGATGGAGCACGTCACTGTAGAGCCTGTGCACATGATGGAGATGGAGCAGGCAGCAACAGTGGTGGTGAATGAGGAAGGAGTGGCTGAGATGTGTGAGGAGGACGTGGAGAGACTGAAACAAGCCGGGGTGGAGATCCAGGTGGTACAGGTGGAGGGGGGCCTGGTCACCATGGAGGATGTGGTTGTATGAGGACACTGAATGACTTTTTTATTTGTATCATAATTTTCAGTATTTTGAAGGAAATGCTTCACTTTGAATTGTGCATGCTCGCCCTCGGCCAGTCAACGGATAAAGCACTCGGCCTTCAACTCTTTTCTTGATGAAGAGCAATGTTGATTCATCCCACAATTATGTATGTTTTTGTTTAGGTTAGTTGCCATTGATTGTACATTACATGAATTCTGAAGCTCTGCAACATTTTTAGTGTTTTGGTTTTTGATGAAAAATAATTTAGAAAAGACTTGTTAGCAAACAAATATAAACACGTTAAATTAAATTAAGATACTTTGAGATACAATGACTGCATTTTCATTGTTTAATATGAAGTTTGTGACCTGATGTCTGGTTATGCAGTACCTTTTGGAAAAGAACATACATAAAAAGTACAAGACAAGTACAGGCGTTTCCCAAATGTGTTGGGTGTTTGGATCTGAAATATATTTTGAAGTTGAAATTAGTGATATTTCACAAGTTAAGAGTTTAAATTGCAATTTAAAACAAAATTACAGATTAAAATAATATGTAAGGACTGTTTAAACCGCTACTCTTAAAAGTGCTTAATTTTTGGCTCAACTGCTGCTTCCTTTGCTGTAAGAAGGTACATTAAGATAAGTGACATTATATGCTACCATAAACAAAAACAAAAAAACTAAACAAAAAAAATGTTACACAAGATCAGTAAGACTCATATATAGCCTACTGTTAGCAGGCAGTAGTTGAATGTGTAGACAATAGATCATTACTCACTTAGACTTAGACTAAAGTAAGTAATAAAATCTGAAATCTCAGCTATATACAAGAGGTCATGGGATGACAGTACAACAATGATGAACAGGACATAGGGTTATTCATTACATAAGGGTGAGTTGTTGTACGTCTGTATGGAGTATGGTATGAATGAAGTCCTGTATCTCTCACTGGAGAATGTAAAATACTCTTATATCTATGGATATAGAGCGACCAGTCTAGGATGACCAGGTGTCCCTATTTCCCTGAGACAGTCCCAGTTTTGAGCCCTGTGTCCCCTGTCCCAGTGGATTTATCCAAAACCACAGATTTGTTCTAGTTTTATACAAGAAATGTTCCAGGTGTCCCTATTTTTGACCAATTTGATCCCTGCCAACAGTAAGGAGAGGCATACATGGTCATTTTATTTTGTTAAAATACAGAAAAGCTGCTTAAAAATGACCAAAACAAAGAAATGTGACTGTACTGACTCACATTAGTGCCGAGTGCGTAAGAATTTCACTTGATTACGCACTTGTTTCACGATTTTATTATTACTGGTCACCCTAGACTAGTCATGTAAATTGTTCTGGAAAAGCTTATGAACTAATTGCCCCCACGCAGCGTTTCGTACTCTGCTGGTTTCCCTGAGAACCCGGGGGTTGCTGGACAGCTCCTGGTGCTGAAGTACAATCACTTCCGCCCGCCCCTTTTTGTGTAATCCGAGCTCTTGATTGGTCAAAACACACGCTTGTTTTACGTAGCTCGTTTTCTATTGGTCAATCCACGTGCTATTTATGCTAAACGCTCTTCTCCACGGCACAGACTTTACCGGAGGCAGCCGCAGCGAGAGTCCCAATGTCATCACCGGCAACACGCGGAAGAGAAACCGAAACGATGACCAGTGCTAGCTTTTGAGGATTTGAGAGGGTCTGATCAGGTACAATGCTTTAAACGTCATTTCATTATTATTATTTTAGTGTGGTTAGTGGAAATGTCAAGAATGGCGTGCTGCGGCGGGGGGATATCTGTTGACTGTCATTGGCGCGGGTTCACAAATCAGATTTATGTTGCACTGACACGCAAAACAGTGACAGATGCGGCAAACATCAGCGAATTTACAAATATTTAACGAGCATATGACTTCACAGCAACTACTATCATTATGTTGCGGCCTTATGATCATAAATTATACAGCTAACTTTAACCTGTAACCTACAACAAGCTAATTAGTCAAACGAATGCCTAACTTTACTGGCCATATTTTTGCAATCTTGTTCTATTATGATCTAGAAAGAAAGATTTATCACTGTAATTCACAGATTGACAATATTTAATCCATAAACATAGCCAGCTATATTTAAATACATGTGATTGATGAGCATTTGACAAAAGCACTTGTTGCATAGCCTACTTTTACTCTTTTATTATCAATCAGACCAATTCATTATTAAAATCAGATTAAACCAATTTCTCTCTATGCATATACTGTGATCAAGAATGTATTAAATTGTGGATTTTATTTTTCAACATAGGCCTAATGCAGGGTGACCAGATGTCCCTGTTTACCCGGGACAGTTCCAGTTTTGAGTCCTGTGTACTGTGTCCCAGCAGATCTATCCAAAACCATTGATTTGTCCCAACAGTAAAGAGAGGCATAAATTATCATTTCTTTAGATAAAATACAGAAAATGATCAAAACACAAATAAAATATGACTATACTGAGTGCTGAGTGCAGAGCAGTTTTTCTTAATTACGCACTCGTTTTCACAATTTTATTACCAACCACCAGAAACACAAAAAATCTGGTCAGCCTAGCCTAATGCAGCATAATTTCTCCAAAAATGTACCAGCTAATCTGTCTTCAAAATCAGGTTTGCGTGACTCAACCATTTTAATTTAGTGTCAGGAATTGCCTTCACCTGAGCGTCACCCAGCTAGTATTAACATTTGTCTTCCACCACTTACTATGCATTGGAAAACCAGACCAAACGCTGAAATTAACATGCTTTTGAAGCAGGAATAGTCCTGATTAGTCCTGTTTTTGATGCGTTTGATGCTCTGTCAGTCGGACATTATGAAACAGAACCTTTTCCATTTGCGTTCTCTTCAGTACAACACTTTGAAATCCAAATTGAAAGAAAGATGCATGCTGCTAACTTTACTTTATTACTTCTTTACTTTAATGCAAAACACCAAATATATCTTAGCTGTCTTAAATGACATCTTGTCTCATTTATATTCTTGTCAGTGGCCAACCATATGCCTCAGATAATTATATAAATCCAAAGAAGGTCTGAATATCTCTTTTGAACCTATGTTTTTTCAAAGAGCAGCCGTCATGTTTAGAGCTGCAACCAATAATCAAAATAACAGTAACTAGTAGAGTATTAAAATCATTATAATCGTATTTTGACTATTATCTTCACTACAGACTCTAAAACATGCCAGAGGACCTCGCACAATGACCTTATTAAATCAAATTGCCAAAAAAGAACAATTTGTGATCTGTATCAGTAATACACTTTTCTATTATTCGCAAGTATTCTCTTTTTAGAAGCCTTCAGCAGCTATATTTAGTCCTTTATTTGGTCAAAAATGTAAGTGTAATGTAACTGTTTGGCTAGTAGAGCAATAAAAAAGCTGACTAATCAACTTCTAAAATAATCATAAGTCATGGACATGTAGCACAGTACTTTATTCTGGTCAGTTGTCTATTCTGATGAGTACACACAGGGCCAAGGGGTGCCCCAGTGTTTGTTTAGCATTGGTTTGAATAGCAGCCTATGCAGTGCCTGTTACAATAGAATGGGACCGTGTTTAATTTTCTATATCTGTGCTGTGCCTCCATAGAGAGAAAAACAAGGCCTGGAATGTGAGAACTTATGGAAACACGGGTAAGTTTACAAGATTAAAGATAAAAGTATTGATATATGGTCACTGGATTTATTTGTGTGCCAGCTGAACACCAGAAAAACAGAATATATATTTTTTCAGTTGTACACTTTTTTATATTGTGTTAAATTGGAACGCACACAGATATTTCATTTTATTGCGTATGTGTAACATTTGTGTTTTACTGATACAAAATTTTGATTGCTAATGGTATTTTTTCTTTGTATCGTACTGGTCTTGCATCAGAGTGAAATATTTTGTCTAAAGGTCTATAACACATTTGAGATACACTAGTCTTTCAAAGTAATTTTCAAAAATATATGATTATATATTACAACTGGTCCACAGGTGCGGCGGACGGCATGGAGCTCTCAGGTTTTCCGTTGTTGAGCTGCTGAAGTGGCCGATGCCTCACACTGACTGACAAGTGAGTAACGGCCAGCATGAAACCTTGTGGTGTTTTGTTTCTTGTAATGAATGTGGTCTGACACTCCTTTTCTTATAGCAATTAACACTTTACTTTAATGAAAACAGTATTGGAGAACCACTTGATAATGTAATGCCCTCTCAAAAATGTTTTCTGAAAAATGCATAGTCAAAGTCAAAAAGTCAAAACCGACTTCTGTACTTGACGTCACCTGCTTTAAAATTGATCTTTAATATATGAGCCCTACCTACCATTTCTAAGCCACACAGTGATCTTTCCAGGGCTTAATTAGATTTTTTAAGGATTCTGAAAAGAATTTCGACAAACTTATATTGAGATCATTTTTGAGAGATTATAATGGAGTGTAATTTGAGGGATTTGTCAGCTGTTTTGGCTTGTTTCCAACTAGACAACCGATTGTATTTTAGAAACCTGAGCACCATGACTCACATACTAAATAATGCCAACATTCATTCATAATAAGAAAGTGATTCCATGCATGTAGTTCTAATGGAAAAACAGTGCATGCTTTGTGAAATTAACCACATAAGAATCTCTCTCTCTGCTTTAAGGTTGTTTAGATCTAACTTTAGGGACGAAGATTTAGGTTTATTTTGTATTTTGTCACGATAATTAGTATCTTGACTTATCGTTCAGTAAATGAAAGCTGAAACAATATATATTTTGGGGCTCAATATTTATCGTGTGTAAAATTTCTTAGCAAAAATTTGGAGATTTGTTTTTTTTGTTGTAATACAGTAAGATTTGAGCTTTAGAGGGTTGTATAAATAATTTCTATGGCTAACTATTCGTTCTACTATTTATCTGTTGCAGCCAGGCCTTTTAATGATATTGTCTATTTACAAATGGTTTACTGGGAATGCCCTGTTTTATTAATATTGTGCCATGAAGTAGTTTCAAAATCGTTTCTTGCAGTATACGTCGGTAGCAATATGTCATGCTTCAGAAACTGTTATCGTGGCAGGCCTGTGTTGCTAAGAGGCAAAATTAAACTTATGTCAATACTGTAGAATCCAGTCACTGATCCATTATAATCCAATTCTTAGTACTACCTTCACAACCATAGAATGTACTCCCCATTTCGATTGAGCATATGAGTATCCTCTGTACTGGCCTCTTCCTTCTTGAGCCTGAGTGCGAGTTAATGTCTAATCCTCAGCCAGAAAAAAGACAAACAAACACACTTGGTCAGCATCTATCGCCAGGCAACCAACAGCGCTGTTTTACAAGAGGCAAAACACAACGCTATGTGCAACCGGGTTAGGTCTGCCCTGTGGGGACTCTGCTCTTTCTACCAGGTCAATACCGGCTCAATAAACTGCCTCTCTGCATTACTTTTAATGGTAGGTAATTACTGTATTAGGGCTGAGTGATTTAGGAAAAAGATCTAATCAAGATATTTTGTGTTGCGGTTAAATTTGTGATTGGTTTTGTAACATTTACTGTGTAATATCTATACCAGTTTAAAGGACACATTTTAATCACTTACCAGGGCTTTGTCATTCAAGATGGGGCTGAAATATTATATCACTGCATGCTTTTTAGAACATGTCTAGGCCTGCAAGATATATCACAATAGAATAAACATTGTAATGAGATTAACGACTTTCACAACATTTCTGCTACAAACATTATTTATTTTATTATGTAAAAAATTTGCTGGCCATGTAGTTTAGACCATAAACTGTATAAAGAAAGGAGTGTAATGGCTCCAGTCAAATGAAGCTCACCGAGGCTGGCAGTTATGAGGCAAATTTGAAACTGAGGCCCATATTTGGGAAAGGAATTGATTCATGGATAAAATACATAGATGTATAAAAGAAGTGGACTAAACGAGTGTGACGTCCCCCATAGTGATCAGCGCCTCTCAAATGAGGCTCGTGATGCTCACGTTTACATGAGTGAATCTGGAGCTAGGCTATATGTAAGAATAGGATTTTTTTGACTGACAAAATAGCGATAAAAAAAATTCAGGATCATGTAGACCAGGTTAATACGAACATTTTAAGACCAAAATGACGAGGCTCACTGCAGCAGTTACAGAGAGAGGGGCGACAAGATCCAAATGTAAGTCAATTGGAGCCAGGGTCAGAAGAGCCTCCTGGCGAACTTCCTATTTGGCACGAGGCCGCTAGCGCGTTACCTATGTCCACTCATATATACAGTCTATGATAAAATAGCAAAATAAGAACACCAGGATCATGTAGACTGGGTTAATATGAACATTTTAAGACCAAAATGAGAAGCCTGGAAACAGCAGTTACAGAGAGACTTAGGAGATATTTTTTCAATACAAAGTGAACTGGAGCTGGAGTCGATGGAGCCGGACGCATGCCCATGGTCACTTCCTATGTGAAACGTGGTAGCTATACCCATTATTGTGATTGAAATGCATGGAATTCTTGGATTAGTTTAGCAGTTCAAATTTAAATGTCTCCTCAAATGTTATCGCTTCTGGACATGTTTAAAATGTGAACTTTGAGCTATTATTAAAACATAAATCGAATATCTAATTGCAATGTGTGTCCAAAAAAAGAAATGAATGAAGACAAAATTGGCTAATTTGAACTAAATAATTATTTTGGAGGATGTTCAAGATTTCATACAGAGGATTATGTCACCTAAATAACTGCTGCCTTTGCAACTTGTTAATGCCACCATTCAACTGATTTAAATTTGATTACGATTCATTATGCAGCTCTATCTTGTATTTCTCTGTACATTTTTGTATGAATCTAGCAACATAAAAGGTTATCTAAAGCGTGTTGCATTGTGCCTTTAAGTGGATACCTCTTGTGTGAATGTTATTAGCTGTGCTTTTGGTTTCCCCTCATCAATGGTCACTTATTCATAGGGGCAGCCTAAAGGTGTTTGAAGACAGAGCTGGTCTCACAGATCTGAATAGCTTTGATTTTTCCTTAAGAGCATGGATTCATTCATCTTAATATAGAGCTGAATGAGAGAGGACATGTGACCTGACCCAGCATGTAACATTAACAAGTCTTGTCATATTTCCTCTCTGGTTTGTTTGGTTGTTTAGTTGATTTTTCTTTTTTTTTTTTTCACCACAAGACCCACAATGCCAATAAGCGCACGGCGATATTGCTTAATTTCTTTGAATCACAAAATAAAAGACGAAACGATAACAAAATGATATACTTAAGTCTGCTTTATGGTGTTTCAGGCTATTTATGTTAGTTCAGCTCCCACTCCTCACATCCTATCTTCTTTATTTGAGTTTTTAGAGCTTCCACAATCAGTTGCTCTTGACTTTAGAAGCTATGGTCTGCCTCACGGTAGTTTTAAGTCCAAAAAGGCCATGTAAAACGCAAGGTTCTGCTTAATGTTTTCGTAACGTTATGGTTTATAAAGTTTCAGAAACAGGTTTTAAATAAAATTACAGGTCGTAGTTACCTCCTTAGTTACCATGTTGCACATTATGCCTGAGCAAGCTTTCAAACTTTTTATGTAATTTCTTATCAGAAAGTCTACAAGAAAGATGAATGGCAAATTTAGTTCAGAAACTGCAGGATGGGTGGTCACCTTTTAAGCTCCATTATATCACTATACGCCAAATGTCACATCTTCCCCATATATCACAATATATCACCAGCAATATACCAACAATTTTTGGTGTGGTATTTGAAAATCTTTGTTGTTTATTTGTCTGTTATGACTAAATGATGTGTTCAAGTTTGATTACCTTATGTGTGCAGTGGAGATGCTTTCTCAACACTTTGTGGACTAAATAAATAAATATGTAGAGAGTGTACCAAACCAGTATACATGTGGTCTACTGTAGATTGTAGAATTATTTAAATTATGTAAAGGATCCATATTACACCATTTTCTCATCTATGCTATAATGTTGTTTCCTCATCACAAACATATCTGTAGTTTTTTTTTTTTTTTTCTCCGTTCACACAAGTTTAACACACAAACCCTTCATATTTAGGCTGTATTCTTCTCTCAAATAGAAGATGCTGTGATGTGATGTGGTGTGCTCCACTGTGTTTTTAAACTCCTTACACCTTTGCTAGAATAATTTCAATAATCTCACCCCTGGAATTTCCCATTTCTAATGAACTAAAGTTAAATGGCAGCTGTTAACTTGAAAACTACTGCTACTTGACATCACAAGGTGGAACAAAGCATTTTGAGGTCTGGAGATGTAAACAGACTAATAATAAAAGATTACTCAAACATGTGTGAGTGAAACAAAACAAAAGCAATGTTTTTGATGAGGTAATAACATTATAACATGGCTTAAAGCTCATGAGAATCAGTGTTGCATACTATAGGACCTTTAGTTTTCAAGGCTTAGGAAGCAACCACACAGTTACAGTCCCCAGAATTCCACCTTCAGCAAAAGGTTCAGAAGTTCAGTTAATTCTGATCATTACTGACATTGGGACTGGAATGTGTTTTTCAGTATGTTCTTTATGCTTGACGAGTGTGGTACAATTAATATAATTTGTTTATACGGCGGTCATGGCAACCATAGCCTATTTTGCAGCTTGTTCAAGTACTGAATGAAGTACTGTGCAATTAGACTGGTATGGGCGAGACAGGTCTCAATGATTAATGATTAATTGATAGTAGATCATTTTGAAGAGTTTCTGTAGTTATGAGATACAGAGCTGCCAATTTTTATATACATCATTTTAATTGTTTTGCTATTTGTGTTTTGTTTTATTATTTCCCTGTAAAAAAAATATTGTTTATCTATTCGTTGATTTGGGTTGGATTACATGCACATCTCCATTGTTATCTGCAGTTTAAGTGCTGCCATGACCATTGATTTTTTACACTGCAAGATCAGTTTCCCAGTTTGTATTTTCTAGTCTATATTTCTTATCTTATACTGAACATTTTAATGATTTTATTTATTGCTTTTTACATTTTTACTTTTTTTTGTTTACAAAACACAACAAAAATTAACAAACCAAAATAAGAACAAAACATTTAGGTGTAAGGTACCAAAATGGAGACACTTACATGTTTACACAATTAGACAGCTGCAGATGTATACAGATAAAACATATCCCATTGCACTGGCACCACCTTATTCTCCACAGTTACCCTTCCAACATCTATCCACAAGCTCAGGTCACCTTTAACTCTTCTTTTGACTGTTTTGTGTTGTTTGACAGGTTATCTCCCAGCACAGCCCCTGACAGTATCATCTGTTATCCTCTGCTCCACTCCTCACCCCTCCTCCTCAACCAGAGTGTCCTATTTATACACTGGAGACTCCCCAAGGCTACTGTGGTCCCTGTGAACCTCTGGAGGACCAGCTACAGGGAGCATGCATCCTACTGCACCTGTCACTTCACCTGCCACTGCACCTGAGCACTTTTGAGGCTTTGCAAACAGTGTTGCAGAGTTGAAAGGAGGATGTAGGACATAGTGGAGACTGAGACAGATTTGCTGCTTTGTAAATATATATATCTCAAGGTGAGTTTAGTTTGATCAAATATTTTATTTAGTTAAATTATGAACTGGCTCATAGACCGTAACAAAAAGAATGGGGAGAACACAGGTGACATTTAAACCCTCTTTTGGGGCGTTTATTTAAAAATTATTAATGTATTTCTGTTGTCAGCGTATGTGGATTGTGTGTGTGTGTGGTTCAAATGCGAATCAATTTGACAACACTTGCAACTTGTAACATGTTGAAATGCAGGTACAAGCTGTCAATGAACAATAATCAATAATACTTTAGGTAACTTCAATCTATTCAGTCTGTATGTCTGTTGTTCTTACAGTTACTTCATCTAGTGTTGCTGCAAGAGTTGATACTTATTTGGTGCTCATCTGAGTAACTCCCAACCAAGCAATCAAAATTTACATTCAGTATATTTTATTTTAGTGTCATCAGATTGACAATAAAAGGAACAAATATATGAAAACCCAACACAGAATTCAAATATTTTGCTACTTTTGTTGGTTGTATGCAATTCAACATCCAAAATAGTCTTGTTGTCCTGCTTGAGATAATGGGATCTGAGATAATGAGGACTAGCTACAGTCTCCTTCTTTGTGTCTAAGCACCTTCTTGGAAACCACTCAGTCACCCTGGTATTCATGCATTGACAAAGTCGCACTAAGTATAGATCTGGATCTCTTGCTCTGTCTTATCTCCAGGGGCAGCCATGAGTTAATCCTGGTACAGACTGGGCGCCCCCCGCAGGATGACCGCGGTTTGCCCTGTGGACAACAGCCCAGAGGAGGCTGAGACCACCGCCAAGGCCTCCAGAGCCTCCAGAGAGTCCGGACCCTCAGGGACTGGGGGGAGCAGCTCTGTGACTGGCCCTGACACTGTGGACTCAAATGGAGACTCAGTGCAGGGCTCAAGTGCAGCTGCAGGGGGTGCTGTTCACAGGTACAGCCGCTGCAGCCAACAGGACAGCTCTGACATCAACACAGATGATGAGGGAGCTACTGTCCGCCGCCTCACGCCGCTCGAGAGGCTCAACCTTGACATGTGCCAAGATGACCGGTCAGTTAGCCATATACCAAACAGTTACTTTTAGTCTTTTATGACACATCAAAGTGTTTAAGCAGCTCTAGAACAAGCAGGAGTTGGTTAAATGGTGATGTTATGTCTTACAGAGTCGTCCGAGAGTTGACAGTTGGAAGAAGAATTGGCTTCTATAAAATTCGAGGAGAAATCGGCTGTGGGAACTTCTCCCATGTGAAGCTGGGGATTCATGCTCTGACGAAAGGTGGGCATCGTTGTGCTGTTATCACAATCTCTTAAAATGAACTTATAACCAGAATGGAGGTTTTATAAGAAGATTTTACAGCATCACCAGTGTTCTGTTGGTTAAGTCTGAACATTAGTTGTGAAGTCTTCCTCCCCTTTCTGTCTTCCCTTTATTAGATTGGAGCAATAATTTGGCTGATGTGCTGTTTTCTTCAATGGGCTACAACACTCACAAGTGCATTGTTATGTTGCAATCAACAAATGAGGATCTGTGGGCTTGGCCAGGGCTGATTCAGCCACAATGAGACAGAATGTCTGCTGTCCTTGAACAGATGGATTGATTAGAGATCTCCAGTTTCCGTAGCGACGGCTAAAATTGCTGCATGCCTCATCAAAGGCAGGAGGGTGCAAGGGGGAATGATTGTACCAGTGAACGTGAGAGATGTGACCTGTTCAGTGTTGTTTTCTGTTCGCTCATGTATAAGGTCTATATCTATAAGTGGTGTCATTTGGTCATTTAAATATAATATGAGCTACATTACATTTTAAATGCATCACCCTCTGTAACCTATGTCAACTGAAAGTGAGCCTAATGCCACTGTGAATAATGCATAGTGATACACAATTAGATATCTCCTCACCATTTTACCACCTAAGAACATTTACGTATTTAGTTACACACCATCCATTTTGATCCTATTGGTCATAAATCATTTAGAGGATGCAGTTGTAGTTTAGAATATATACCTACACATATGTTGACTGTTGCTACAAAAAACTTAATAATAAAGATAAACAAATAAGATATCTGAAACAATCTGCAATGAAACCAAGTAGGCTGCTGTTATTCCAGAGAAAAACTGTGCTATTTTAAGTCTAAGATGACAGCGTTTATTTCATGATACAGTAATTAAAACTATTATGTGTTCTTTTTAACCAGACAAAGTGGCCATTAAGATCCTGGACAAAACCAAACTGGACCAGAAAACACAGAGGCTACTGTCCAGAGAAATCTCAAGCATGGAGAAACTGCATCACCCCAACATCATCCGGCTCTATGAGGTTAGAGTCACACATAAGATCTTTTATATGCACTCAAACTGTAGCAAGCAGCTCTGTCCCTAATGTAAGGCCTGTTGTGTGCTGTTCCTCCCAAAGTAAAAAATAAGCCTCTGTTATCCTTTGGCCCTCACTGCTCCGCTCATGCTGTGATTGTGATGGACTCAAAGACGTCTCACAATAGTACATACTATTCTTTTATGTTCTTTTAAATGTACAACTGTGAAAACAAATTTCACTGCAGTGACAATGAAGCAAGCCACTAACTACAGTGCGATGCGACCCAAAAAACACTTCATAATGATGTAACTGGGCCTTGTTACATCCCTCCTTAATAGCGCCATAAATTTTTGACAAGAAATGTACGTATAGATTTAGTGTTTAATTTTTTTTTTTTTTTTTCATTAAAATATGTTCATGTAATCCCTAAGTCGTCCAGGTAGGATCCACAGCAAAGGAGAAATTCAAGTTCTGGGAAACTGAAGAAGCAGCTTGGATAAGCTGTGAAAATGTATGCGATCAAAAAAACTTTTGTCCATTTGACAGAATTTAATTTCTCATTTGTTATTTACTAAAATATATATAGTTTTTGTTTCAATCACGATTTTGTCAAATATATATATTTATTTAGTTGAGTTTTAGCTTATAAAAATGCCATGCTACTGTAGTAGAATATGCTTAATAGTTCATGTTTTCAACCAGATTTCATATACTAAGTTGTATTTTAACTATGATATTTGTATTGCATTGCTTCATGGAGTTTGGATGTTGTGTATGGTTTGTTTCTGGGTTCTGGAATTGAAAAGTGGAACTTGGATCTAGCCTCTTTGTTCATTTCACGAATGTTTAGTTTTTATCATTCAACTAATGGGGATGTATGTAATTTTGGTTGGATTTTTTGTCACAATTTCTTTATGGAGTTTTAATTTAACACTGCAATCAGTTCTGAGCATGGCTTTGTTGCCATGCTGCGAGTGTGTCCAAAGCACTCTATATGAATTTCAAGAATGTGGTTTCAAATTGAAGAATAAAAATAACTCTTTGTCCTTATACCCTCCTCAGGTGGTGGAAACCTTGTCACGGTTGCACCTGGTGATGGAGTATGCAGGAGGAGGAGAGCTCTACACCAAGATCACCACTGAAGGAAAACTCTCTGACGCCAGCAGCAAAATAGTCTTCGCTCAGATTCTCTCTGCTGTGAAACACATGGTCAGCACGCAAATGATTCAGATACTATAGAATAAAAAATGGTATTGATCACATTGCAAAGACCAAAATCTGTATTCAAACTGAATGAAGTGCAGTATTTTAGGTGCCTGAAACGAGGGTGCAAACATTTTTAACTTTTGTATATCTGTAGCAGTAGAGACAACTTCACCATTTAGAAGATGTAATATTTTTTTTTTTTTTTGTAAACTATGATTAGGTTATGTTGCCAAACTACAACCCAGTGCATGCACCATAGATAAAATCTTCTAGCTAAGGGACTTCTGACCAAACCTAGCTCATGATCTAGAAATTGTTGCTGACAGGTCACCCCTGCAGCATTGAGGATGAGTCAAATGCAGCTCTAGGACAAATTTCCCCAGGGAGACAATAAAGTGTACCTTATCTTACCTTAACAAAGGGAAATCCCACATGTATGCACTTACAGGAGTAAAGCACAGACTATATAAAGAAATGGATTAAGGGAGTGTGATGTCACCCATAGAGTTTGACTCCAGTCAAATGAAGCTCACGTTGCTAAGAGTTTTAGGGGCAAATTTGAAGCAGAGTTTCATATTATTAGCAATAGGAATTTATTTATGTACAAATTAGCGAAATTAAAACACCAGGATCATGTAGAGTGGTTTAATATAAACCTTTAAGACCAAAATGATGAGGCTCACTGCAGCAGTTACAGAAACAGGGGTGACCTATTTGGAACTCAGCGGCTAGTTTGCTTTGTTAATTTATATACAGTCTATGGTGTAAAGTATATCCATAAAATTATTCACTCTGACTATTTTGTTACATTTTCTTCCACAGCACGAAAACAACATCATCCACCGTGACCTGAAGGCGGAGAATGTATTCTACACCAGCAGCTCTTGTGTCAAAGTGGGCGACTTCGGCTTCAGCACCCTAAGTCGCCGTGACGAGACTCTAAACACATTCTGCGGCTCTCCTCCGTATGCTGCCCCCGAGCTCTTTCGTGACGAGAATTATTTGGGCATTTTTGTGGACATCTGGGCACTGGGAGTCATGCTGTTCTTTATGGTGACTGGGACCATGCCTTTTAGAGCAGATACTGTGGCCAAACTGAAGAGGTGCATTCTGGAGGGGGCGTATGTGCTTCCCCCTTGGGTTTCTGAGCCGTGCCAGAGGTTGATAAGAAGAATTCTACAGCCAATCCCCAGTGATCGCTGCACAGTGGAGCAGATGATGAGTTGTGAGTGGTTGCTACCCGTGGACTTTCCAAGAGCCATGGTGCCATTCAAACTAGACCCTTCATATTTAGCAGAAAGTGAACTATCTGAACTAACAGATGAAGAGAGAGACGTGAAAGCTTCATTAGAAACATTAGGAATCACATCAGAACATATTCTAAATAATCAGGGCAAAGACTGCCGCAGCTCCATCACAGGGGTCTACAGGATCCTGCTGCATCGCGCGCACAGGAAGAGGGCAGTGGACAGTGTGCCTGTAGTTACGCAAGTCCCTCCAAACACAAACACCAGTAAGAAAGAGAGACTAAAAGTGTACCGGAGTTTACGACACACATCCAAACTTTGTGTAATTCTGTAGATTCCCTGCTTGGAAAAAAAAAGGTCTAGGCAGCATGATGTTGAGTAGAAAATCCCAATGTTGCAGTTTAGCGGTTTAAAAACATACTAAGGTTGAATTATTCCATAGCTTCTGAAATCTGGGATTTCATAACTTTTATAGTAACTTAACTAGTCTCTGTGAGAATGTTGATTATGGTCAGTTGATTTTGTCTCGTGACAAAAAGAACATCCATATCACAACACAAATAGCCTATATATTTATTTTTTAATTCTTTAAAGTTAAAGCTTTATGCTTCATCAACCTATTGTGACGATTACCAGCAAGTAGCTGAAATAAAGACGGTGTCTTCTCCTTCATGGTTATGAGATAAGTTAAAACACAAATAATAATTTTATTGTTTGGTTTACTGGTTAAACATGTTTTTATTTACCTGCTGCCATGTCCATACAAATCATGAATCAAATAAACGAATAAAAACTAGCCGACTGGTTGCGACTTGCCAAATACACTGCTGTGTTTAATGTGCCCTAAGGGAATCAAATGAGCAGGAAAGTGATAACGCCACGTTCGGTTGTTCTTAATGGACTACAACTCCCAGAAGCCCTTGAGGCAGGAGGAAGTCAGACCTGCCTCTTCCGCCTCTGCGCCGTGACGCAATTTCTGCCTTGTTGGAAGGTGCTTTCATCGGAAACGCAGTGTGGCAGTAGGCGGTATCAGCGAACAAACGGCAAATAGACACCCAAACACCACGGGACCCACTCACTCGTTTGGTATTTTAACTTCTGGGGCTAAAACGGTAAGATATTTACATCAAGATTCTTTATGAGGGGCGCAGATTATGTGCTTAGCTGTGCCAATAAAGACCACACCCTCCCTGGCGATCTAAGTCAGGATTATATCGCAAACATTATGGCTAATTGGTTAAATACATGGTTCCTTTGTAGTTTAGTGAAAATTACGACTGTAGGTGAAGGTTTATGTATTTTTCTTGCATTTTCCTCCTTAGTGGGTCACTGCATAAAATGTAGGTCAGTCATTTTTTTCTTTGGTCTGGTGGTCTACTGTAGCCCACTGTCTGCAGCTCAGCAGGGTGCAGGGCAATACACTAACCATGATTATGCTCATTCTACACACTTCATTTGCAGATAATGAAATATTTAAACGGACAACGTTAAAATTCAAATTTAAAGTAATGTCTTAACCTCGTATTTGTTTTGACACATAAGACAGCTCGTGACAAAGGCATGCGGACGTGGGGGCGGGGCGCATTAAAGATGAGGTCATGCAGAAATTCGGACCTGATGCAATGTTGTAGCTATAATGCTCCTTATATAATGCTGGAGTGTACGTGTACTTGACAAACAAAACATGCCACGTTGCAATTATATTAGATTAATTTGAGTTTTTGTTGAATTAGTTAATTTATTAGACCATAATTAAGGTTATAGCTAAATTATTAAATAACGAGATAGATTATCTCATCAGTGGCCATTACATTATTATTAAATGTAATAAAAACACAATAAAAAAACATGGGAGAAATGCACTTTGATATTTGTGCAATTCATTTTAAATTAACCACACATCACTTTACATATACACACACACACACACACACAATATACACTTACTTACTTATATATACTTATATATACTAGACCGTTGGCCTAAATGGTAAAATGTGGTGATTTTGTACCAATTAATTGCAGCAGGTTTTTAAACATCATTGTAATTTTTGTGAAGGATAATTTTTGCATTTTTTTTTTTATTAATTTGCTCTTGCAGGAGGAGTACTATACAACAGAGAGGGTATTTAAATGTTTTCCTGTGCAAACATTTTGCTTTAGCATACGTTATTGCTCTTCTACACAAGATCAGAGCAGCAGTGCCCCCTATCGCCAAGAATTGGGATAATAATTATTGCATTAACACATGCCACGTGGAATAAGACATATTTCTAATGTTGTGCATGGTTTTATTGTCTATAGTGACCGATTTCCTGCAGATGTCAGTCACTGAAGACCTCCCAGACATGGAGGGGACAGACCTGTTAGGACTGCTCTTCCAAGATGGTGCAGATGGATCCACAGAGCCTTTGTTTTCTGATGGGAATGAGCTCATTGAATCCTGGCTGTCTGAACAAGATGTAAGAGAATTACTTGAATATAACATACTTATTTTTAAGATGACTACCCCCACTCTTTGTAAATTATAATATATAATGTGCTTTTTACAGCTGCTTTTTATAGGGATACACTTAAAATGATACTGGTATAAATAGATATCTTCACCCATCCAGAAATATTGCATGCAAATATTTGCAATATCGGTGCATAAATTTTTAAAGTTCTTATTTTTTAAATCAGTTTGTAGTTCAACACACAATGTAGAGCTGTGCAGAAATATTGCATTACAGTTTTGTTGCTCATTTCGTCAAAGAAAACTTGTTTATGCAGAACACTTGACATTCACTATTTTGATGATTAACATAGATGTGTTTCATATCAACTTTGCACAAGAACTGGTTTAACAAAGAAATATTGTTGGTAAAATGTATTTGGTTCTTAAAAAACAGCAATATATCACAGAGTATCATGTGCAATAGTGAGCCATGTATCATGTATAATATTAATTTAAGATCATCCAAGATAAGAGAACCTTTATTTGTTTCACAATGGGGAAATTCTAGTGCTGCAACCCACAGTTCAAGAACAGCAGGAAAATAGAAATATGCAATCAAAAGTTGCTGTTCAGATATACTTAAAACTACCACAACACTGGGCAAGAATACAAAGCTGCAATGCTATGTTCAGTAAGTGAATATGATTATGGATATGTAGAGCATATGGACAGATTACAATATATGGCAAGTAAAAAGTGACTTAATTGAACTGACATAAAATACATTAATAACTCACTTGTTAGCATAATTATAATTCTTACAAATAATAGCCTACATTATATTTGTATTATACATATGCCCTTGTTTTTTTTCTCCTATAGATGCTGCCTGGTTTGGACACTGAAGACTTCCTGTCCAGCCTGTTGGACGAGGACATGGATGCAATCTGCCCGTCTCACTCTCCTCTGGGCAGTGACAGTGGCATCTCAGATGACAGCAGCGGAGGGGGGCACCACAGCCACAACAGCCCCCACAGCAGTGACATGGTGCCCAGCCCAAGCTACTCCCAGCCCAGCCCGGTGCACTCAGAGCCTGGCCCCTTCACCCCCACAGACTTCCACACGGAGAGCCCCGAGGCGCTGATGGTGCAGGCCGATCACAGCTACTCTCTACTGCAGGGGCCAGACAGGGACATGGACGAGCTGCAGAGTGTCCGTGCCGAGAAACTGGACACAGATGTCTTCATTGATTTAGGTGTGTACTGCTTTAGAGGGTATGGCTGTGAGTTAGAAGTATTTGTACATAAAGGTACACAAAGTAGCTTTTCTGGTGGAGGTATTATTTAATTGGCTTGAATGGCCCACAGTATGACACTAAAATTATCTTTATCCATGGAGACGAGCATGCAAAGCCACCATGTCAAGTTACAGGTCAGATCTGTGAATAAGCAAGCCCACACACAGTAAGAATACATGTATAATATTTTGGCAATAAAACACCTCCTTCAATAAATGCAAACATCTCCATGGAGACAAGCAAGTGGTGGACATCTCACCAGAAAAGTTACATAGTGCACCTTTAAGTTGGTTGTCCAATAAGTGATTGGGTGATTCTTTTGGTATGAATTGTGTATATACGTTTTTGTTTTATGGGTTTGTTAGCATTTATAAAAAAAAAAAGACTACCTGAAACATTAGAAAAGGTTTAAAACACCTTACACATTACACCTTATTGAGTTCTTATTTGCTAGTGAAGTAAATATTTTTTCATTCAGAGTCTATGTTTATATGGATTCCCTAGTTTGCAATGTATTTGGAACTACTAGCATTCGATACCATATCTTAGAGTCCATTAGTATTGCATTACATTGCATTAGTAATAGTATTGATATGAAGGTGTAGTTAATACATCAGACGAGTTGCTGTTGTTAAGGCGGTTGTTTTTGTCCCCTCAGATGACCTGGTGGGTGAGGCCATGGAGGGAGAGGAGGACGTCACCAGTGAGTTGCCTTGTACTCTGGATGTGGAGGACATGGCCGAAGACTCGACTCAGCTCAAACAAACAGAGCAGGTTTGGCTTGTTTTTCTTCCACTCTGTGACATCAAGACTGTGTTAACCAAGCAACAGTCTGATGCATACTCAACAAGCTCAAATCCCAGATACAATCAAATCTGTTCTTCTATATAGCACACTGTGATCCTAATGCATTTATATTAGGCTTCATTAACACCTGCTTGCTAAATAAATGTTAATGTGATTAAATATTGAGATGACAATTCCTTCAATAATCAAACTATTGAAATGTAAAGAAAATATAAGAAAAATAATATATAGTGTAAACTAAAATATGGGAATAATGTCAGATGAAATGGACTCGATCAGATAGAGGATTCAATTAATATATATTTGCTGTATAGATCGAGTAATATTTTTAAAATATATTGTTATAGAGAAAGTCGATTCTGTTTAAAGAAAATTTAATTTGAAAATTATTTTCTAGTTCCAGTTCAAAGAGATTGTGCTCACAGAGGAGGAGAAACGACTTCTGGCCAAAGAGGGTGCCACTATTCCAACACACATGCCTCTCACAAAGGTAAGATAAAATGATACAAAACTTTTATTATGTTGTAGTCATTTAGTTATTGTCAAAGTCGTCATATGCTGATACTTTGACTTTGTTCCCTTTACCAGGATAATTGTACTTGTGTGCTAAAGGCTGTGAGCAGGGCCACTGTTTGCAGCCTGGTTGTGAATAGGAGCTCTTTGTGTAACAGGCTGAGGAGAGGACCTTGAAGAGAGTACGGAGAAAGATCCGGAACAAGCAGTCAGCTCAAGAGAGCCGCAAGAAGAAGAAGGTCTATGTGGACGGACTGGAAAACAGGTGAAGAATAGATTTTAACTTAAGTGTTCAAGGGATTTGTGAAACAGCCTTAAATCTAGGTCCAGAGTTATGGAGTCGTAACATAAGCTTTTTAAGAAAACACAGTCAAACCAAATTTTTAACATCCTATCCTCCATAGTGATGATATTTTGTACTTTTTAAAATATCAGAATTGCAGCATCTTTAAAATCATTATTTTGAAGAATTATGTATCACATTTGAGTTAAAAAAAACAAACAAAAAAACATGTAAACATGCCATCCAACCATTTTGTGACTAAACCTAAACTAAAGTGATGTAACAAAAAATCTGTCTTTGTTCCCAGGGTTGCCATCTGCACAGCACACAACTTGGAGCTGCAGAAGAAAGTCCAGATGCTCCAAAAACAGAACATGTAAGAGTTAAGACTACTTTATACCAACACGAAAAGAGGGAAGAATCAATGAACAGTTTTATCATAGAATCAAAATATATATTGATTCTAATATTGAATATTTTCTAACTACAGGTACATCTAAAAAAATTAGACCCATGTAACCAATATATTATATAGATTCAGATGACGCACAGATTTTTTAATTAATATGACTTAGATAATGAAAGCCAAAATTAAGTTTAAAAAAAAGAATATTATATAAGGTTAATAAAAAGGATATACATTTTTTTCTATGCTCAGTATTTGGCTATTAGCTGCAGCTTTCCCTTGTTACTTTTAACTTGATGGTCTTAAGGGTTTGGTACAGGGGCTATTGACAGTTTGTGATGTTTTGAATAGTCTTATTTCTCTTATAGCCTTACAAACAATCTGAAATCAATCTAAATCTTATTAATCAGTGCATCTCATTCAGATATTGCTTCGAACTTCATATAATAATATTAAAAGACATGCTTGACACTGAAAACTTCACACCTATATCCTTGTTATATACTGTATGTTTATCTAATGTATTTTGATTTCTCTCCCAGGTCTTTGGTCGAGCAGCTGAAGAAACTCCAGTCCATGGTAAAGATGTCCACATTGAAAGCCAGCACCACTAGTACATGTGTTATGGTAAGGGCCGCAGAACACACAGAGTATTGTTGTAGTTGCTATAGCGCCCGGTGGGTAAAATAATACTGAGCCGTTGCTAACTTTGTATGTGGGGCTTTCCTTTCAGGTGTTCCTGTTATCCTTCTGCCTCATCATCTTTCCTTCTGTCAATCCCTTTGGCAGCAAACCAGAACAAAAAGAGCTGTACACCCCGTCCTCAGGTAAGAACGCTGTCTGGAAAACTAACTAAAAAGAGTTTAAGGAAGCATTGTGTAACTTTTCTGGTGGACGGTCCTTTAAATGCATTTCTTCATGGAGATGTTGTTGTGAGAGTATGGTATTAAACCTTTCTATCTACATGGACACCAAACCAGATCAAGTTGTAGGTCAGATCTGTGGAGAGGCAACCCCGCTTACAGTCAGAGTGCCTGTTTTTCTTGGTGTTTTTGAGCTATAAAACCCACCTGCAACTGAATAAATGTAAGATAGAACTGTTTAATGTCATACTGTGGAACATTCCAGGCAGAGCAATGACATACCCACAGAAACAAACAGGTGATGGACCACCAACCAAAATGATGGTAGACATGGACTTTTTGAAAACATAAAGCAAATTCTCCAAAATGAAATTCAGTGCAGAACAAATTTCTAGTTTGGAATTTTTTAAAATTTCTTTAAAAAAAAATTTACTATCAAAGTGAAAGTGATAAATATTTTTTACTAAGGAAGATGAAAGTTAGGGGTTATTTTAGTTCTTTTACTTGCCCTAAATAAACAAATAAATAAAAATAATAAAATAAATAGTCGTGAGCCATTAAAATCTAATGGCACAGATTACTAGTTCCTGATGATATACGATTTCATTCAAACACGTTATACATTCTTGATATTTTATTTTTATTTCATATATTACGTCACATGCATTTATGATATTTGTGCATAAATGTATAACATTCAGCTTTTCAAAATAGCTCTAATATTGAAACTACATTTTAATCACTGTCTAAAATCTGTCTTTTTAATTCTCATATTTAATTATCTCCCTTTTATTCCAGTCATCTCCAGGACCTTGCGCTCCCTGCCTCCGGACAGCGATTCCATCCCATACCTCGAGCCTGATGATGAAGAACCGCTCATCTTAATGACCCAGGAAGTAGAAAATGTAAAAGCTATCTTTGCCGGAGGTCAGAAGAACCACACTCCAGACTATCAGCAAGTAGAGCAGCCTGACTCAGAAACAGGTGTCAACAGCAACTCATCTGCGGACTTCCCCAACCCCAACCAGGCTCTGGATATCAAACCAGGACAGGCAGGTGGAGGGGGGACACTCCAGGAAGGTCCAATAGATAAAGTGTCTGCCTCTGCTGTTGCTTACGAGGTACAAAACTCGAAAGAGAACTGGATAGAAAGAAATCCCCCATCTGTCATACTACAACAACACCGTTCAGATGAGATGTAGTAGTTGAGGTGGATCAGCAGAGGGAGCCATATGATTTTAGCTAGGGAAGTTTGTAAAAAGATGGAAGGGAACTATATGGTATCTAGAGTCATGTTTCTATCTATGCTACTTCCCCCTTTTAACCGCCTTTTGATGTACTACTGTTACTTCATTTGCACTTTGGTCTACCTTGTTTGGCGAGGCAGGAAACGTTGAGATTCCCTAGTATCAGTACTGTGTAGGCTACCTATGAAAAGCACTCTGCTGAGAAGGAAATTGTGTAAACATCACCAAAAAAGAGAATGCAAACGTGTCTTAGAGTTTATTAAATGAAGTTATAGCAATCATGTCCATGCCATAAAATTACAGGGATAACTTTGTTAGACTTGAAGGGGTAACTAGGGCTGCACCAGTGTAGAAAAACTTTGTATTTTAAATAATGCAAGTAGTATGATCTTCAGACTAAAATGGTAGTACAATATTGACTTCATATCACTATTGAGATCAAAGAAAGCTATGACAAGGTGGCTACTGGATACCCAACCTCTGGCATTATTTTAACTAGCCATTTTACTAACAGTTAGCTAAACCTTATCTTAATATAAGACTTTAGGCACAAAGCCTAGAACAAAATTATTTCTGAACTAGCACTTTTTATATGAACATTTTAATTTGTTTGGAACTTATTCAGGGAAATAATGACTTTGTTACAGCTACATGTTTGTGTTATGTATTTTGCTGTAACATTAAGTAGTTAGTGCAGCCCTGGTAGGTACCCGGCCCTCATTAATCGTAGAAGAATGCTGCTTTAACCTCATGATGCTTGACCTAAAGTGGTTATTGGACCACTGTGATGCTTCAGCCATTGCAGGACATTTGGCCATGTAGAAGACTTGTAAAGGTATTAGTAATTCCCTTGTAACAAGGGTGTCATGCTTCTTTCATTTTTGGAATGTTTCTTTGTTTTATTTTTTTATTTTATTTTTAATGTTGTACAGTGAAGCAATGAGTAATGCAAGCTCTAGTTTAATCAGACGCCAAACCATTGACCATGCAGTAGTTGTCAGACCCTTAACTCTTTCTCCAACCGACACCTCTTGTACTTTCTATGCTGTTCGTCTTGATACTTGGCACTTGAAAAAGGGATTTGATAAATATGTACTCAGTAAAGTGTCGCAGTAAAGTATATTCAAAAATGTAATGACCTGTTTTTGTCAGTGAGGCATTTTTGTTTTGTTTTTATGAATATTTTCTATGTTATTAAACATAATCTAAATGTATTTGGAACTGACCTGTTCTAATCAGTACTTATGAGATTTTACATGTGGATCAAGCACTGGCGTTTGACATAGTGTAAATAAGCTTCTATGATTGTAGCTCGCCTGTACATTTGAATTGTTTATGTATAAGACATGTCTGAACATCTATAATAAACCTTTTTTACATCAACAAAACACATGTTTTCTAATCACTTACCATGATAATTTTACAAATCAACAAGAGGCTTCTGACCTTTTTTAATGTAGGCTAATCAAGCATTTAAATGCAAAGAAGGTTAAGAACACTAAGCACAGCAAGAAAGCTCAAATCATATTAATTACTTAATTCACCAGCCTCATAGCATAATTGCCTAAGTTTATATTTTTTTCCAAATTGAGTTTTTTCCATTCAGCTGCCTCATTCTGTCCTCGGTCAGAAGGTCAAAAAGACTTTTACAGTCAAGAAAACATCAACAGCCTCATCTGCAGTTTGTTTTTGTATTTCCCCAAAAACCTTCAAAAATGACTTAGGCAATTATGCTATGAGACTAACACTAACACACAGAGTGATATATCGGTTGGCAGATATATCGGGCTGATATTTGCACTTTTTAATGAATCGGCTATAGGCCTTAAATCTTCAGCACAGGACGATATTTTGTTTTGGCCAACCTGCTGCCTAAACATACACACAGCTTTATTTGAACACTTAAATGCAAATAGCAAACAGCTCAAAATGTGACTATGTACCCTCTTGTAGGTTTGCGGTAAATAGAAAATAATCTAAATCACACCTACATATTCAGTCAAAATACAGTATATCGGCAGAACTTATCGGCCATCAGTTGCTTCTGGATTGTAAATAATCAGTATCAGCATCGGCCATGAAAAAACCCATATCAGTCACTCTCTAGCCAATACCACATTTATCTTATGTTATCAAATTGGAAACCCTCAAAAATGTGTTCACATTTGTTCATTTTATATTTCTGTACTTGATGAAGATGTTAAAATGCCTGCCACAGTTGCAGCAGAGTGCACAGTGACTACAGGCGTGGTGACCAAAACTACAGTGTCATTTAAACTTGTTTGTATTAGAGACTGGTTAATTAAGGACACTTTATGGGAATCATTGTTGCACCATTCTCTCACACATTCATACAGTCAGGGTGGGTAAAGTGTCTTGCCTAGGGACACAGTGACATAATGCAAATGTCATTTATTGTTTTCATCTCAAGCACATCAGAAACGTAAATTGCTTTTAACATAAGATACACAAGACACAAGACAAGCAAAATAAACAAAAACAAACAGATAAAAAAAACTAAAAATAATGTGTTTGTAGGTTGGCACTGCCACTAAGCCACTGCCAAAACAAAACAGGTAGGCTACAATTACTCAAACAAACTAAAACCTATTCGTTATAAATTTGCTTAAGCATGTAAAGCAACCCAAATTTTCCATAGTTTTTAATCTACACCACATTGTAATTTTTTCTGTCAAAATGTTGGCAAGATCCTGAGGAATTTTTCAGTCATTTACTTCCTCAAAAGTGACTTGACAAAACTGTGGTAAACATTGCAGCAGGTTTTACTTGATCTTTGTGGGAAAACCCCTGCTTTCCTCCCAATGGGTTGTTTCAATCGCGTTTTATTTACAGGGACTAGAACGTTTTAAAAATTCCAATTGAAATCCCATTAACAGAAAACATTTATTTGATTTGAATAACAGTTTATATAATCCTGACATACGTTTTCCTTAACTGCTTTTGTTTTCGCCTTGGATAGTCTATATTTGTGTCTGTGCAAACATGTTAGGGGGAAAACACACAGGGAAAAACAGCATGAATCACCATTAGGTCGTCTTAACCGTGACTCATCATACTGTATAAGCCTTACCAGCAGCATGTCGGGGCTTGTTATTTAGGCCAAAGGTTGCGCCACTTACCCACCACCAGATGGCGCACTGTGATCAGAAAACGCACCGGTCTCTTTGCTCCAGAGGAACCACGTGTGCTGACGGGGGCGTAAGGTCTTTGAAATGTCAGAAATCGCCAACACTTGTATCGAAACGTCAACGTGGTTTGGCATTTGAGTATGACAACAACTTTGACCCTTTTGTAACTATGGGGGAAACTTTAACTGGAGATAACTAATAATGTAAATAATTTTGTTGAGATGATTTCTTAGAAGCATGTTGGTCAGTTCTTTTTAAGGTCTATAGTTGCTCAGATTTGACTGACTGATTGAGTTTAAGCTTTTGACTATAGATTACAGTATTTACAGTTTTATTGCTGTTTGGAATTCAGTACACATTATTTTCATGGTACAGTAAATAAAAAAACACAACAAAACACAACTTCTACACATACAAGCACATGGCTGCACACCACAGACTGTAGGCTATACATAAAATAAAACATATCTTTAATAGGGATGTAACGAAATCCAAAACTCACGGTACGATATTATCATGATATGCATCTCACGTTACGATATTTATTGTGATATTTTGGAGAAGCTATTGTAGATAAGGTATTTTGAAAGCAATAAGTATCCTAACAATACTCAGTACAAATCAATACTGTCATAACCCCAAGAATTAGTAAATAAGTAAAAAAAAAAACAAACATATTTCTTCATGTTGTCTGCAATGAAATGAATCATGGTATATGTAGTTCCATATGTTTCTTTGCTGTTACGACTATAAATCAATACATTTAAGCAAATTAACTTGTTATTCGATATATTGTGACAGCCCACGATACGATATCATGACATTTTGGTTATTGTTACATCACTAATCTTTATACATTCTGGGATGCACACACATAGACACATACACAATTACACCTGGTTTAATATATATATATATGCGTCCATGTTTCGTATTACAAATGCTATCACCATATTACCTCGAAATGGAGTGGGAAGACTACAGACTCACATTAAACAGACATTATAAACATACTATAAAGGTGTGTATTTGTTTATATTTGCATTATACTATTCTCTGGTAGATCTTCATTGAGTATTGAGTATTAGAAATTACCTTATGCACTGAGTTTGACACTGAATTCTAATACTGGATACCGGATAAACACTAGGTACGTGACTAAATGTCCGAGTTCATTGCCAATTTTGACCCAGTTTTGTTGTATGGTGCAAAAACAGTCCTGATTTCTTTTAAATGAAACAGCTACAAGGAAGTCTCCATGTAATTCCTTGTAACAACACATGACATTTCATTTCATCAGCGGTTCCTGCTTGTGTAATCATGAAATGCCATTGCTTTGTCCTGTTTATTCTGCTGTTCTTGCTGGTCATGTACCTTGTGTCTTTCTGTACTTTCTGGGGCATTTCATTTTTGTTTTGATTTGACTTCATTTCACTCTGGAAATTTGTCTTGGAAAGAAGCATGACCCTTGCAACACTGTGGGTCTAATAACAAAACAAGAGCAGCATAACAGAGTAGCATTTTAGCAATATGATCTTTTTTTGTTTACAGATTCTATCTTATATTGTATTTTCATAATATGTTTAAAATGTTGACCCATAATAAAAAAAAAAAAACCTGCATATTAACATTTGGCATAGTAGTTTTACAAGTCCCCTAGGGTTCCTGGATTTTCAAAATAAAAAATAAATAAAACTGAATGCATTAGGATGGTTGGAATAAATAAAATTATGAAAAAAGTGCATAACATTGTCCATTCTCAACTCACTTGTGGGTCAGTGTCCAACTTTAAGGACCTCTTATGGTGCATTTTTGCCTAGTAGTCTTTGCTGTAGGTACCTTTCTGAATTAATATGTTATAGGTGACAACTAATGATGATGACTATTCATTTATGACTAATTTTGGGTACTGCAGCTTATCTGAAAAGCTTTTGCATATCATTTCATTTAGGACTGTCCCCTCTAGCATCTTTCCAATCTTTTGAACATATCTCAGTTGACACTGTTGACAACCCCTATTTCATTCAAAACAAACTTAGCATAAACACTTTGCATGCGCCTGTGTTTACCCCCCAATACTTCACTGATGTTGCATTGAAAACTGATAAGTGCCCGGCGCGTGTCAATACAGGAAAGGGGACGAAGGGGGGTCTCCACGCGCATCTGTCGAGCATCTGCCAAGAGCCACTAAAGCCACTGGAGTGTGCCGCCTTCAAAGACCCCCGGGGCCCGTAAGAAAGACCCGGAGCAGGTGGAGGCCTATTGTTATCAGCAGGGCACAAAGTCGACTTTTTATTCCGACACGCGTCCAGTCAAGACAGAGCAGGGCCAATTAAGTGCGCACTCTGAACAAAGGCGACGAGTGGCGTGTGCCGAGGCAACAAGCTGCTCACTGCTGCTTCTAAAATGACCTCTCTGCACTTCCTTGTGTCGCTGGGTCATCACTATCATAGCACTATCTAGTTGGATGCACATGCACTAGCGTGAATGTGTTTACCGTCTGCAGGTGCTGGGTGAGTCTGAGACGCGTTGAGAAGCGTCTAAAAATAGCGCAGTGGCTGGCTGCTTGGGAAGTTCCAGACTAGACTGTATTCTGGAAAAGGCTACCTATTTATCCAAGTGCTTCCCCGGCAGATGCGCAGTCCACATATTGACCAAGCAACATGTTTTTAGCATTGGATAACATGCAGTGTTCCAGGATTGCTTTACAACTTATATAGTGCGTAACAGTTGTATAACATTAGTTGTAAGGTGAACATAAAGACATAATAGTAACTCAATCAACATACTGCTGCGTTTAATGAAATAATAGCTAATAACATTGAAAGGAGAGGGGGCCAAATGCCAGCTGTAATGTGTAGCCCATAACATTCAACATGGGAGTCATAATAATAAGGTCACATTTGTTTAGCACATTTCTTACAAAGCTTTGGTGTTGACTATAGGGCAAGGATTGTTAGTGGAAGGTTCGAGGGGGGATTTCTTGAAAACGCGTAATCCTCGCCCCCACGTGGGTTTGTCAACAAGCCGGGGGTGAACCTTTGCGCAGGGACTTTTGCTTTCCTCACCCAGGCTGAGCGCTCTGAGCCAATGGCAGCAGGCGCGCGGGGAAAGCACCTCCCCTTGCCGAGAAGCCACGCTGACGCGGTATAAGAGCAAGCACAGGCTGCTCAGAGCTCAGAATATCGACAGATACGACACAACAGCAACTACCCTCTAACGAGACTTAACTTTATCCGCTGTTCGCTACTCGGATTCTATTCGCTTGTGGATTATAACTATGACTCTGGAAGAGATGCAAGGACAAGAGACAACCATGGAGAACACTGACAGGTAAATACGCACTAAATACTACTGTGGCGAAACATTCTTAATGCTTTTTCTCAGTGAAATTTTGTGTGCTACAGTGTTCTTATGGTGCTGTATTGTCTTGTCAGGGTGCAAAGTGCAGGCACTGAGCTGGAGGAGCTGCTCCTCGCCGCTAAAAAGGAAGACTATCTGACAGTCGGAGTTTACGAGTCTGCAAAAGTCATGAATGTGTAAGTATCTAAATCATATATTTGTATTTTTTTTCACTTTTATGGTTTTTTTATTTAGCAAATGCAACTTTTCCCAGATTGTAATCCTTTGTCTCCTTGTCTACCCTCAGTGACCCAGACAGCGTGGCTTTCTGTGTGCTGGCCACAGACGAAGAGTATGAGTGCGACATCGCGCTGCAGATTCACTTCACCCTCATCCAGGCTTTTTGCTTCGATAACGACATCAACGTGGTGCGTGTGAACGATATCGACCGCCTCGCAGACCTCGTGGGCGCCGATGAGAGTGGGGAGCCCAAGGACGTGCACTGCATTCTAGTCACGGTACGCACAAGCACCCACGTTTGTGTCATGTCTAATAGTGAGGACAGCTCATGGTGAATCACGCGTAGTTTGAGCACGCTGTACTAATGAATACTTTGTCTTTTTCATTGCAGAGCCCCAGTGCCAGCCCATGGAAGCACTCCTCTTTGGATACTCTGGGGATGTTTTGTGATGAGAGACGCAGCGTTTATGACTGGGTACCGGCTATCACCCTGCCTGAACGCTGAACTGCACAATACCTTAACATTGTTGAAGAAATTCCAAGAGCTTGAGGCGTAGATCTTATTCCGCCTATACTCCTGTCTGGATTAAAGAGGTTTTGCCGCGAGTGTGTGCCCAGTAGCAGCGGCCTCCTCTCCCCGGTGCATCCAGGGACAGTGACAGGCGCATGGGGTCCAAGCTAAGGTCGTGTGAGGACCAAGATGGAGCATAATGGACACTGAGAAGGAAGTGGTGGATTGGTGTCCTGAATGAAGGGACCAATAAGCAAGCAAAGAGGACACTGCAAGAGATGAGAAGGTGGACTTTGAAAGGAATACAGACATTTGGAAAGAATATGGACATTTAAGTTTCTTTTTGCAAATCAGCCAACACTAGGCTACATGGATGGAGCAACCAGAGACTGATCCTGATACAAGCTGTATACATGGACTATATTTTTCTACTTAATGATGCAAAATCAATGCATAAATATTTTATTGATTGTAAAGCTTGAAATTCTTTCTTAATAAATACTGAAAACGAAGTGATGTTGTCAGACATTTCTTTTATCACTGTGCACAGCTCACTTTGCATAGCAGGAAGTAGAGTGCAGAGGCAGAGTTGCAGAGAAATCACGTGGGTGTAGATGAGAAGATCAAACGTAATGGTACAAAGAAGGAAACACCCAGAGAGTCATGGTACCAGTACGTCATAAAAGAAATAGTTTGTGGTAGCAGGAGCAATACATTAGTAGTAGTAGGTGTACTAGTAGCAGTACTAACAGTAGGAGAAACTACCTGCTGACATATGCACTTTGCACAGAGACAGTAGTAGTAATGCAGTAGTTAATAACAGTAGTAGTATTAGTGGTAGAAGTAATAAAGCAACATTAATATCAGCAGTAGTAGAAGTACAGTAGTAGTAGCAGTAACAGTAGGACAAACTACCTGCTGACATGCACTTTACACAGAGGCAGTAGTAGTAATGCAGTAGTGGTAGTAGTATTAGTAGTAGAAGTAGTAATGCTGTATTAGTATTAGTAGTAGCACAGTAATAGTAGTAGTAATTGCAATAACAGGAGGACAAACTACCTGCTGACATATACACTTTGCACAGAGGCAGTAGTAGTAATGCAGTAGTGGTAGTAGTATTAGTAGTAGAAATAGTAAAGCAGCATTAATATTAGTAGTAGTACAGTAATAGTAGTAGTAGCAGTAAGAGTAGGACAAACTACCTGCTGACATATACACTTTGCACAGAAACAGTAGTAGTACTGTTATGGGGGAAGGGGTTGTTCTTTGTTCACTGGGGTGATTGATGTAAGTGCAACTACAAAACAGAGCTCATTAAACTAAACCAAATACTGTAAATTCAAAATGTACCATATAATTCACAACACTGTAAGATATAATTAACAAATAGGAACAAAGTAGATACAAAGTGAAAGAGGAGTTCTTGCATAGTGCAAATTATAGACCTACAAATACAGATACATAATGTCATTTTAACAGTAGCATGGACCTAAACATAGCCGCATGCGAACTTTGAAGAATACCATTTATTTAAAAGAAACACAAATGTCCACTGTATCGAATCATAGACTGCATAGAATTATAAGTGCAAACAAAAGACACACTATTCCACATGGCTGGTGCTCTACACTGATGTTGTGCAGAGGCTGTGACACAAAGGAGAGCATTATAATCTTACCGAGTTGCTCACATAAACTGCACATTGGTAATAAAAAGAGTAAATGAGTGTAAATATATCAAAAATAGCATTAATGGCTGTGTAGCTGAAGTTAAAACCCGAAAGCCAACCAAAACAACTGCAAGCGAGGAGTTTTGTTGTGTTAGAATGAAAATCCATGAGTGCAATGTTACATCCTAGTAGAGCATTATACAAAATAATATTAAATGTGCATGAATAGATAGACCATATTTTTATATCGCATAGTTGCAATATATAACTTTGGTAACACTTTAGTTTAAGGACCACATATTAATAGCTAGTTAATAGTAAAATGCATAGTAAGTGCTTAATTACATCTTTGTTAGTATTTATAAAGTACTTTCAATGCATTTTTGTCTAAGGCCGTATTTTGCGAGTACTAACTCATTAACAGTTTTCTTCCCATTAAATTAGTGGCGATCACAATAGTTGTTTTTTGTGCATACGCTGAAATCTTAATGAGCATCAATAAGTGTTTGATTAATACCAATTAATAGCTAAGTAACAGCTAATTAGCATACCCATTACCACTCAGTTAAGGCTTAATATGTGGTACCTAAACTAAAGTGTTGCCATAACTTTTTGATTGGGTAGTCCATCACTTGCTTTCTCCAATTACAGGTGGTTTTATAGCTCAAAAATACCTAAAAAAAAAAACAAGCATTTGGACTGTGAGTGGATTCGCCTCTCCACAGATCTAACCTGTAACTTGGTCTGGTTTGGTCTCCATGAAGATAGAAAGGTTTAATACCATACTGTGAAACATCCTAGACAAAGCAATAACATCTTCATGGAAAAGAGCATCTGACAAACCCTTCACTGGAAAAGTTACACAATGCATCAAGGGTAAAATACTTCTCCAGAGTGTTAATATTTTCCAAGACCATCCCACGATTATAACAATACGCCTATTACAATATTTAAACCTTCAGGAAAAATATTTCTCCTATGATAATCTCCATTCTAACAGCAATACCACCCCCATTGTTATTCCCCATGTACATAAGTGCACAGATCTTGCAACATGTCTGGGTTTAGAGCTCGCAAACACAGCACAAAATTTGTTCTGGAAACGTGACTAGACTCACAATACAAGGGTCAGTGTCGCGCCACGGCAGGTAGAGGAGAAAACTACGAGAGGTTTGTGGTCGAGGCTGACAGTAAATTCTACAGACCACTTCAAAGAGTCATGTGGCTTCACCTGAACTCAATCTACACTTCCAGGCAACACATCCGACCACCACAGTGAGTCCATAGAGAGCACGTGGCCGTGGTAATGTGAAATGAAAGATAAAGATGCATTGTGGTCCTGGCATTACTTTCTATCAGCAGGGAGACCAAATCAAACCAAGTTATGGATCAGATCTATGGAGAAGCAACCCCTCTCACAGTCAGAATGCTTGTTTTTCTAGATATTTTTGAGCTCTAAAACCACCTGTAATTTAATAAACTTAAAGTAGATCTGTTTAATGTCATATTGTGGAACATTTGAAACAGAGCAATGACATATCCAAGAAATAGTTAACGGACCCCCAACCCAAAAGTTACATAAAGTCTACAGCAGTGGTTCCCAGATTTTTCAAACCAAGCACCACCTAAGCTCATATTTGGATTTCCGAGTAGCTCCAGATCTAAAACAGGAATTCATCAGTAACGGGCATAACCAGGTCTAAATCCATGGAATTCTGTAAACCGAAAGGAGGACAGAAACATGCATAGATGTGTTTTCTCCACAAAACAAACAGTCTTTCCAGTGACATCTTTGCATGTCACCTACATAATTCCAAGTAATTTTCCCTTTCCTTGGAAAGGGAAAATTTCTAGATGGAGATAGATAAGTTTTATGTCATACTGTGGAAGGTTACAACATTTCCACGGAAAAAAAAAATTAACGGGGCCCTCCCAGTAAAATGAGTCAGGTTTGTGAATATGCAAGCCTGCTCACAGTAAAGATGCTGAAGATGTTTTTTAGTGACATAAACACCACCCAAAACTTTTATTTTAGTCTATTTTTGACTTAAAAGTTACTTACTGTGGCTTTAATCCAATAACTTTTTTTGCAGACTAATTATTTTGTTAAGATTATAGGGGTTTATATGGGCCACAGCAGAAAGGAGAGTGTATGGAATGAGTCAGCTGAAGTTTTGGGAGTGACTGGACAGTTTAATCTTTTTTCTTTTTTTTGCATGAGATTCTAATCAGAGCTTTTGCAAATGCCACACTGAAAACCACATTTGGTATATGAATCAATGCACAGGGGATGTATTTAATCAACCAGCATGTCTGCAGCTTCTAGTCAAACTGCACATGCTCATAGTGTTGGTCGAAGTTCTTAGAAGAAAGGAAGCCCGTACTCAGAAAACCAGCGTGGGGAGAATATGCTCGAGGATTTCCTTCGTATGAAAACTGAGTAGTGACCAAATCATACCAAAACTAAAGAGATTAGTGAAACGGTGGAGTAAATGACAACTGAAGCACTGGGTAAATCCATGTGGGAGGTATTGACACTTTGAAATTGAGAAAGCAGTGACCTGAAACAACATGAATTGAAAGGAAAATATTTATTATGGGAGTTTGCATTGAAAGTAGGGAGAGCCCCCACCAACCTGGAGGCTTGTTTTTATCATCAGTAAAAGCAGGAAGACACATTTTCTGATATGCACACAGCTAATATGATACATGCTTAGGCAAAGGTCAGGCTTGAGTGCATAAAAAGGTGAATTAAAGTTAAGAGTTCTTTTAGCATTTTCACCTGATTTTAAGTGAATCTGTCTCTTGTAGAATGCATATTGATTCTTTGCAGTGATGTCACCTGCACTTGGCATGCATGTCTATGGAAGAATGTTCAGCAGTTACCATGATGACACAATTCACACAGGAACAAAAACAACCAAAAAGTTTGAAGATAATCTAAAAATTCATAAATAAATATACAATTGGGGTGTAACAATATCCAAGTCTCACGATACCTTATCATCATGGTATGAATCTCACGGTACGATATTTATTGCGATATCGTGGAAAAGCTCACGATTTGGAGGGGAGGCTCACAATTAGGGATGTAACAATATCCAAATCTCACGGTATGATATTTATTGTGATATTTTGTGGAGGCTATCAAAACTGTAAACATGCTTCTTCTTCCTCTTAAAATGCCTTGACAAGACTTAATCTAAAGAACTATGACTTAGAACTGTTATTACTTCATGTAGTTTACACTGAAATGGAGCAAAGGATCATGGTCTATGTAGTTCCCTCTGTCTCTTTTTTTAACTATTGCTGCACTCTTAATTTAAGAGTTATGGTGTGGTATGGTATAAGAGATTTGTAATTCGATATATTGTGATGGTCCATGATATTACTGTGAGAACTTTGACGATATGATATCACGATTTCGGTTATTGTTACATCCCTACTATACAACATTGATTTGGTGGTTCATACTACTGTTGCATCATTAGGCAAGACACTTCTCTAATCTTGTGTTCATTTATTTGGGTCATTATGTGTTCCATGGCAGCCTCATCTTCATCAGTTTAACCCAGGGAACCAATAGTACCTCAAGTGACTATTGCACCTCATTGTAAAGCACCTTTGTGTACGTATAGACAATGCTATATACTCCACTGTACCCCTCCCCCTTCTCTTGTGCATGTGTGCAGACAACCACTGCCGAGACAACGCAAGAATTTGCCTCATCTTCTCGCCATTATCCTGTAATTGCACCAAAATATGCATGAACTAAACATGCATTGTCTTCTGAAACAAAATGAAACTATGCACTTGAAACCAGTTAAACATAGTTCTTCATCA